CTAGCGTTACTGTTTCCCTGTAACAGTAGGTACGAAGTGTATCTTCTGTCATGTGGTTGTGGTTGTGGTGGTAGGAGAATTAAGGATCACTTTAGGTAGCTTTGAAGATTCATGGTCCATTATTCCCTTTATAACATTATTTCTGTACATTTTAAACAATATCATAAAGCTGACCCTTCGCCATTATTGATTGTGGGGACTGAGTGGATCTCACCGTTAGGTTCTCTTTCTGATAAAATGAGACTTCAATTAAGAGCGAAGAGCTAAGTGGATATATAGATTGGAAATACTCATTCCTAAGGGTTTAAATGAGAACCTAGATCTGGGGACATATTGAATACTAGTTTTTAGTTATTTATTATCATTTAGTTATTTTTTGTTTTTTAAGAATTAATTTTATATTGAATTTTACAGTTGTATTTGATTATTAGCTTATTTTGTCCTGCTATTTCCTATTGATATTTTATTGTATGGTGAGTAGATTATTTTGCTGGCCAATGGAGGAAGATGGCATATTTATTTATGGATTCTTATTAGACCTATTATATGGATAGTGCACCAAATCTTCTTTTTGGCCAGTAGAGGGAGTTTATCCCTTTTAGACATTTCATATTATTGTATAGATCAGGGGTAGGCAACCTACGGCACTCAAGGCTGCTAGAGCCAAACAGGCTCTGTCCTATCAGGAGTCCCAGTAAAACATCAGATATCTACTAATACGAAGAGGTGGTGAAGGACAATCCTCAATTTAAGCATTGCAGCATGTAGAGGAAGTGATCTCAGATCACTTTCTCCCATCACTTGTGAATGGGAATCCACACTGTAGTAGAGCAGCTTGCAGCTGCTATTGCAGCTCCTGTCCTTGACCTGTACCTGGCCAGCCTGGTCCCCACTGGAACCTAGGGAAGCCACCCACAGTTCTACATATACACAGAAATAACCCTCCCCTCATACAAATAATACAAACAGCCCATACACAAACATACACACACACAACCCCGCATGCAGCATCTCACATGCAATACTCCAAACAGCCCACACACATATACACACTACCAAACACACAATGTGACATATCCACACACACACACACAATTCCACAAGCAGCCCTCATACACAGCCCACATTCATAGGTATCATACACGATACCATAAAGTACTAATGAACATATACAATATAATAGCTCATATATGCTCAAATACACCGATACAAAGCAATTACAGTAAAAATAACACAAGCAGAATACGGCAGCATACACACCTCAATTAAAAAAAAAAAAATAGGACCGGCACGCTACGGGACATCACAATCCTATATCAGCACTGTGCTGCTAAAAGGTTGCCTACACCTGGTATAGATAGTTTACGGTTAGTTTTTTAAGACCAGTAGGCTAAATTGATGTGCCAAAATGTTTATCTATTCATTATCTACCACTGCTATATATTTCTTGACGCAGTAGGGGGAGCCTATAGTCTATAAAAAAAATTCACCACTGCACAGTATGTAGTGGATGATATGCGTAGACTGCTATAAGCTACTGACTACGTATATGAAAAGGCATTTGTATCTTGACATTTACCATTGTAAGGAATATACTGTATACAATGTAAATTAGTCATATATAAAAGGCCCAGGAGGACCCAACCAAATGTCAGTCACATTTAAAGAAACGACTATGATAAGACATCTGAAGCCATTTCAGATTTAAAGGAGCACGCCAAGCCTGCTGATTTATATGTAGTTATAGTACTATTTACCATAGTAAATAGACAAACCGCAACTCTCAGCCAATAATGGCTGTCTTGCACGACTTGGTTTGACTACTTATTGTGGGATGGCGCCAGGGAACTCCTGCCACCATTACTCAATACAGCATGCAGTAGTGGCTAAGTGCTTGGTGTGTTCCTTTAACACAACAGGGTTTTCTTGTAAGAAAAAATTCCGTTGCAATAAGTGCATGTCCTAAAAATGAAATACAAGCAAGATACATTTGGTTCCGGAGTACTGAGAACAAATATCATATCAGAAAGAAATTACTGTCAAAGTCACAAAAAATTTGCAAAATGTATAATGCTCTTACATTTAGAATTCATATCCAAAATTAGTATCAGTGTGATATTAGCATCATAAGTATTATTACAGATTTACATAACTCATAAATTGCTGATCTCAAAGAATGCATTATGAGACAGGGTCCTACAGCACACATATATCAGTACTAATGAGTGCCAGGATATGATGTCATACCCAAAGTGACATATCAGTCACGTAGCAACAAGTCACCATAGCAACAAGTCACCATAACAACTAGTCACAATAGCAGCAATAAGGCACAATATCAATGTCACCATAGCAACAAGTCACATAGCAACACATGACAAGTCTGATAAATGCTACTTACCGCATTTATCGTCAAATGGATGAAAATATTGTTTCATTCATGTAAATGCAGATTGCTGTACACACCTCCATTTTGGATAGCAAGTCTCGCACACAATTCATTAACCTAAGCAGACTGTGAAAAGACCCAATTTTTCTCCAAAGATAAACCCAGTAAATGGAGGACAGCTCCAATCCAAAGCAAATACTTTCTGGCATGACCTGTATTCAAAATATATGTTTACAAGACCAATATATAACAGTCAGCTACTGGTGAAAGATAAACATTGCTCTGTTTGGGCTGGCCCTTAAAGGACCACTCTAGGCACCCAGACCACTTCAGCTTAATGAAGTGGTCTGGGTGCCAGGTCCAGCTAGGGTTAACCCATTTTTTTAATAAACATAGCAGTTTCAGAGAAACTGCTATGTTTATGAATGGGTTAAGCCTTCCCCCCTAATCCTCTAGTGGCTGTCTCATTGACAGCCACTAGAGGCGCTCGCGTGCTTCTCACTGTGATTTTCACAGTGAGAGCACGCCAGCGTCCATAGGAAAGCATTGTAAATGCTTTCCTATGTGACCGGCTGAATGCGGGTGCAGCTCTTGCCACGTGTGCGCATTCAGCCGACGGGGAGGAACGGAGGAGGAGAGAAGGAGGAGAGCTCTCCGCCCAGTCCTGGAAAAAGGTAAGTTTAAACCCCTTTCCCCTTTCCAGAGCCGGGCGGGAGGGGGTCCCTGAGGGTGTGGGCACCCTCAGGGCACTATAGTGCCAGGAAAACGAGTATGTTTTCCTGGCACTATAGTGGTCCTTTAACAGCAGCTCATTCACAGAGCCGGTATTACCCACATATCCTATATATGATATATATATGGAGTAAATGCTCCAATCTCTGAAGGAGATCTGGCCATAGTCACACTGTGGCCAAGTGTTGTCATAAAATCTCGGCTAAATCCTAACCGCTACGGAGGGGGAGATCTATTTATACTAATTTCACAGCTTTGTTTCCTGCACTTTGTTTTACAAGTGGAGAAGCTATCCATCAATTAATGCTGCCATGGTTTGATCAATAAATCATTGTTGCTCTGTTTACATGCAAGAAAATAGTTTCACAGCAGATGACATTGATATGATAAACTAGACTGGTTTAGGGTTAGGTATAGTTTAGTGTTAAGGTTAGGTAGGTTGTGGGGTTAAGGTTAGGGTAGGCGTAAAGTTTGAGTTAGTAGAAGCATAGGGTTAGGGGCAGTTTAGGGTTAAGGATAAGGTTAGGGTAGGTACGGCTAGAGTTAATGAAGCATAGGGTTAGGGGAAGGGATGGTGTAGGGTTAGGAGTAGGGTTGGTATGCATTTACAAATATAAAAACCTAGACAGTCTTAATTACTCCCCATCCCAGTTTTTGACCTTCCCAAAGCAAAGAACAAATATGAAAAACCCTGTTAGAACCTGTAAAGGACACGGTCAGATTATAGGTGAAGAAGCTCCAAGTCTTTAGATGATTCCAGGTGAAATACAGATCTCTGTGGCATGGAGATGAAAGTAGAGTGTGGCTCTGTCAGTGTCCTAGATATGTCTGGTAGGAAATTGAATGTTCAAGCAATTATAGCAGCTGTTACCCTTATGACATCACAGAAGGATATCACCATGATGTCACAACAAAATATTTTTTTTCTAAAGGAGACTTCAAAATAAAAGTGGTCTTCAAATCATTATACATTTTATATCAATGCATAAGGAAATGTCATAAACTCCCACTAAAATTAAAAGTTGTAATATTATGCCAGCTATTTTACCACTGTGTTTCTTTGGCTTAAAATTTGGAAATTAGTTGTCAACTGTAATTTACTGAAAGAGAAAAACAGGGTGCAAGAGAATACTGAGAACGGAGAACAGCTCAAGTAGCTTGCCCTTCGGTGGGTCCCCACTCTGATCTCAAGCTAGTTTAAGGAGGAGAGCTCTCCGCCCAGCGCTGGAAAAAGGTAAGTTTAAACCCCTTTCCCCCTCCCAGAGCTGGGCGGGAGGGGGACCCTGAGGGTGGGGGCACCCTCAGGGCACTATAGTGCCAGGAAAACAAGTATGTTTTCCTGGCACTATAGTGGTCCTTTAAACTTAAGGCTGACGTGGCCCAAAGAAGGCAAAACTATCATCCGGAGTTGCTGTATCTCGTGCAGAGAGATCTTGCCAGCATTTCGGTTCTGGATTGCCCTTACGGTTGGGATCAGTCTGATGTGTATAGGCTTTTGAAAATTAGCTGTTTGTGAGCCCAAACTAGCACAAGCTATATACCAGAGCTTTTAATTGTTGCATCTTTTGATATATAGCTATCAAACGAAGGAGACTTCAATTTCGTGTGTGGATGAGCTACCCTTAAGCTAACGCTTCCGTGGTTTTATCAGGAAATGTGGCTTGCCCTCTTTAGATGCTAGAAAGCCAAGACTAGATTGGTATATTAGACATACATTTAAATAGATATACTAATATAATAATTATATAAGAGTGTTTTCCTACATTTAGAAGCATGCTCCTGTATATTTTCATATAATTTATACTGAAAAAAATTAACATTACTGTGCCGTGATGTGAGCTGTGAGACTAATTACACGTATTTAGACAAATGTATGTTTGGGACCAATTAAGCTAAATATGTTTTGGTTTTAGGGGCTAATTAGATTTGTAATGAGTCAAACAATGATTTATTATTGTAGACTTTTTTTGTGGTGGTATGGTTATTTATTTTGTATCCCATGGTGGTAAGGATAGCAGATTGCAACCTTTTTCACTATAAAGGTTAAAGGAGTTCTCCAGGTACCAACTTAGAGAAGGTGTTGTCTTACCTAGAGGTCCTGGGCGACATTTTATGAATGGCTTAACCTTAAAATGTTACAAATGGCAACAGTCCTCCAAATCTCTGCCTCCAAAGCCCCTGACTTCAAAATGGAAGCTTTGGACTGGGTACTGGTGATAGGCTGAGAGCGTCAATTGACATTCTCAGCTTATCACTGGCTTACCATTGAGAAAATTGCAGGAGAAAGGTATGCTAAAATTGTGATTCGCAATATATAGCTACTGATGACTGACATTCTTATCGGGCTTGGCCAACCATCGACTGAGGTTTAATGGAGTCATATTCCACATAAATGGTTTAGCAAGTGGTTACCTCACCATGTCATTACACAAAATGTATATTTTAATTCCCCCCAACCTCAGCCAGAATCTTAGTAAGTATAAAGGAGTTCCAGCTCAGCAGGGGCAGGTAACTACTAGGATGGCTGCATAAATCTATATATCCAGCCCTGGGCTACTGTGGGCTGTGTGACAACCACAGAGAGAAATTGTGCAGCATGTCCAATGTGTCTGGGGTTAGCATGCTGATAGCTGACACTACACACAAAAATTGCCAAAAACAGACACTGCCAGTCAGGAAGAGAATATTGCAGCTGTCTGACTGACAGCCCAGAGAGGTGGTCCTACACACAGAAAAAAAAATATATGGCTATCAAGAGAGATTAACTCTGGAGTTTAAAAAAAGAAAGGATGCATGGACAGGCTCTTGGACTGATCCCCATACATTATAAGTCTACAACTGTAAATCACAGGCAAGATGGCATAACTACTATCGTGTACCCCAATCATAGCATAATACTCGATCCTCTGGAGCCAGCAATGATTGACTTATTACTGGATGGCTTGAAATGAGGACAAAGATCATTGCCATGTTTTTAAAAAACTCAGCTCTTCTTTTTTCCCTCTTTAATGTTGTACTAAAACCATTTTGCAAACAGTTCTCAATCCCATGACGAACATAAAATCACTTAATTGGTATGACTTCAATTAAGCTCTTATTTTATTAAACAGAAACAAAATGTATAAAAGGTTGCACAGGCTTTAAATAATTCCTTGTACCGTAAATGATCGAAAATAAGGAAGGAACGGTTTAAATCTTCCAACCAATGGACTGGTCCAATTGGTCCGCCCAGCTCGTAACCTTTTGCAATGGAAAAGCAGCACTCAAAAATGATAGATTTTTATGAAAAATAATTTCACAAATTAAAGAGTAATTTAAACCCATAGGGGCTGAATTGCTAAACAGTAGATAAAAAAAATATTATGTAAAGTGTACTCAAGGTGGGTCTATAGACGGTTTTGAGAATTTATACTGTAGTTCTATTTTATCCCATTTTTTTCTAAATCTATTTTAAATTCATAGTTAATTGAATAACCCTGTGTATCTTCTCTAAGTTCTGAATCGTCGGAAATTCAACAAGTAGTCAAAATCTAGGCCAATATAGGTGGTCTGAAAACATAGCTGTAAACAAGTCGTGTTTTAATTCAGGTATTTTAGCCGAAGATTTAAAATATGTTCCAAATTCCTGACAATTCACACTTTAGTAAATAATTCTGATTGTATTTTAAAGAGAGAGAAATCACAAAAAGATATGCATTAATAAATTACTACGAACATTTGAAACAACAGAACAGACTAATGAGCAATAAGTTGTGCCCATCCTCCCAGCTACACTGGCTCAGATGATAAGTTTTGACATAAACTGAGCTCGTAGTGAATACACAGTACAGTTCTTTAAAAAGCATTCATATGACTCACTCTGAGTGTTAAAACTATATGCCCAGTTCACCTGCCCCATTCTCATGCCATCTACTCCTACAATCTGAAGAGCTATTCTGCTACAACTGCCCACAAGGGTACCAACAAATGTCAATCAAGCTGCTCATTGGGCAATTCAGAACCAAAGTTCAAAAAGTCAAAGAGTTGCCATGGACACCAATGGAATATTCCAACTGATTATTCTATTTTCATAAAATTGTCCCAGGATTGAATTTTAAATATAACCCGACAGCTTTGTGACTATATCTCCTATCACACTTCTCCAGGTAAGGATTTTACCCCATCCATCTAATCACTCCATATGATCCATGAACAGCCTGGCCTTGCCTTTCATGGTGTTAATGTTCCCCTTGTGCATGATTCACCATTGTATACGTAGCAACTTGGCTGATTCACAATCGATTACAAGAATTCTGTGATCATTTGCTTCACTGTCTGGTTTTAGCAGCCTAACTTTATGTTCTATAACATCACCCACATGATCCATCTGCCTAACTTGCTTGTACATTTCAACTGTTTTCTTCTCAACCAACTTTAGCTTTCACTGGTTTTCACACACTCGTCAGCTTCACCCTCATTGGAAGTTTAATTCACATTCCCTCTGCCAACTTTACTATAGCGAGACACTCACATTCCCTTCTTCCCTGCTTCCCATTCTATTTCTGGATTTGGCATTCAACACTCATCGATTGACATCTACGTGGGCTGCTGGAACCAACCATGTAGGGGCTTTAATGGAGCTGCAACGTTATAGATCACTATGTGCCGTTGGAGTTAAACGTTCCCTCCCTTATAAATAAAGCTAATTAACTAGAGACAGATGCACCATCCTATTAAATATTCACACCATTATTTAAGTTCTTTTGAAGAGCTTTAACACAAATGTTGCGTTTTAGCGAATATTGCTCAGGCCTAGTATGGTATATGTTGTATCACTTTTGTCCTTTTAAAAGTGATCCACCTCGTCTTAAATTCACATGATAGAACCACTAGGTACAGTGCTGTATTGAAATAGAATTGCTTAGTCTGTATCAAAGAATAGGAAACATTAGATCTTCACATAAGTTCCAAAGATGGCGTCTGTATTGTTCCAGATATAATTTTGTTACACATAGGACAGGAGTTCCGTACTTCTAACCACTTCATCAGACACCTGAAGAGGAAGATAATTAATACAATGATGAGAATAATATTGCTTATGTTGAAATGATCAACCTGTTATTTCAAAAAGCAAATCATGTTTTCAAACCCTGTAATATTTCACTTCCCAATTAGTGACATGAATTACGCTTGTGTTTAAATGGAACTCATTGAGAGCATCTACTGATGTTCTTCACTAATGAATTTGATCAAAACAGGAACAAAAATTATATATCTAAAGTGGAATAGGACCAGATCACAAGCGCCCAGAGGACCCAGGTAAGTGTCAAAGCACTCGAACACAGTTTGACTTTTTCCTGGGTAATGATGGTAAGGTCTCCTAGCACTATAACCGCTCCAGCGTGCTGTAGTAGTTATGGTGCATAGATAGAGCCTTTAGTCACTAAACAGTGAGCTGTTCATCATTGTTTAGAGTTAATATATCTCCACTTCGGATTGGTTGATATAAATATTACAACGTGTTTGTCAACTACCTGGATAAACCCATAGGTCTCCATAGGAAACTACTTAAACTGGCACTTACTTGGTGTGAAAAGCATGGTTACACTGGCAGACACCAAGTTCTTCCTTCACTTTAAATTCTTCAAGGCAAACTGCACACACTTGCTGCAAGATAAAGTCAAGATAAAGTCGAGACAGTCAATTCTGTGGATCCATTTGTCACAGCAAAGCATTGTGGGTTATTCAGCAACACAGCTTATTAAATGGACACTAAGTAAAGTTACTGCAGTGGTTTTGATGCCATTAGTTTTTCATAATTTAGTTTCCAGATGGTTTATTTATTAAAATATATCTCGGCCTACCATAATTCAGCCCCTTTCCACCTACATCATTTTTGTGAAGAATAATGTCCTCATTCAGGTATCAGAGCTCACAGCCTCCTCACACCTAGCCAGCGTCAGAATTCTAGGCCCTTACTACTGCTGCAAGTAAACTCTGTAAAGGAGGCCATTTACACTGTCAAACTCGCAGATTGCTGGGCCACATAGATATTAATTGTAGGCCGCGAGTTTGACATGCTTGATTTACACGGTGCCACAAACATGTGCAACAAAACTGGAATATAATTGTGTGCAATCCCTGAATTGATACAAGTGAGCAATAAATAATTTCTGCATTTAACGGCTTACTCCAAGAACCAGGACCACATCACTGATTTGAAGTGTTCGTGGTGCTTGGAGTCTGTGCGTGCTGGGTTTTGCTTTGAATGAGTTAGATGGGCTAAATGAGTTTAAACCCTTTGCTGCTGGAATTGTAACTCCACCTCCGGCAGTGTCATTAGAAAGCTCGGAACAAGAGTGCTGGGTTGGCTAATATCAATTCTCTGCATATTCCTTTACACCAAATTGCTTTCATTGGTGGAGAGTGGTCAGCTGAGAGCTTTCAGTTAATGAATGGCTGGTGGGATTAACAGATGTTGTCACTAGCCAGTGGCGCCAGCGGGAACCCAGGTAAGAGGGTAAAGAGGGCTAGGGTACTCCTGGCATCATAATCACTGCAGCAGGGATTTTGGAATCAATGTCCAGAGATCTCCATTGCTTACCCAGTTAACCTACAGTTAGATCTGCCCCCTAGTTTCTGGAATATTGGCTTTGATTGTTAAACTTGTAGGTCAGCCTGCTGTGACCTATTGGATTTCCTATGTGACTTAGAACCTTTGTCTCCATCTTTGACCAAAAGTACCGTTTGAATGTGGTATTTTCTGATCATGCTCTATAGCTGATATTGCAAACAGTAACTCTGTTTCTCTTTTTGTCACGTTAGAAATGTAGCTTTTGCAAACTATTACTAAAAAAAACCCCTCTAAAACAGTGGTTGTATAAAAAAATATTAATCTATATACTAAAAATTTATATTAAGAAACGATTTAGCAGCTAAAATTATTTGAACTGGTGACTAAATATATTTATTCGAATGCTTCAATAAGAGTAATGCTTGGCATAAAACAATACATTTATTGTACACAACAATATACGTAAAATAAAATCCTCCTATGAACTCACTTATTCTTGAAATTATCACTGTAAATCAAGGTGATGAGATCCCCAAAAATAACAGTCCTACGATGGAATGAGCAACAAAGAGGAGCATTCAATCACCAACCGAGTAGAAGGACTAACTATTATCAATTTAGATCCAAAGATGTAGTTCCAAATTATCTCTTCCACAAATCTCAGGGCACAATTATTCAAAGCACCCAATACCTTACACTGCTCAGATAAAATAGACTCTAGGCATCAAATCTCTGTGAAATTGGAAATTAATTATCAGGGAATAGTCATTTCAATACTTACTCCAACCAAGTTCTTTTTATTGGCATTTTCTTTTAAAGTAATCTGGAAGAAAAAAAAATACATCAAAACAACTGCATTAGGAATTCTCATTAATTTAAAACGAACAGACTAACGGGATACACACTGATTGCTAAGGATTCTTCCCTACCCTGTTCTGTATAATCCATTGTATTAATAATGGCTGAACTTAATAATTTGCCCGATATGTTGCACGACTTGCCAACCATGGCACAGACAAGGAGTCATTTATTATTCTAGAAAACTAGTATTTTTCTGGCTGCTAGCTTGAACACCTCATATTTTTATTCTTATTAATAGCATTTATAAAGCAATAACATTTTCCACATTGCTTTACAATTAAAGATAAAGCAAAAATTATTTGTAGGAGAAAATGTAAGTGTCAACGACTTTAAACCACATCTACACAATTTGTCTACAGGTGTGATGTAGTTGCAAACTCAAATTGTACACACTGGTTCCATTTGTACATCATTCTGACCAACTCTTGCAGAAGTCAGAGGGTTCTCAACACCTTTGACAATAATATTCCCTCCGTCAATTTCTACCTCAAATTCCTAATCAAACACCAATAAGGCAGGACTCCATAGTCAGGCTCACCTCCATGCCATCTGCTCACCGGCCCATTACCAGTTAGGTTTAAACCTCAACTCATCTCCTTATCTCAGTTAATCTCTAAACGGTTTACCAGTTCTGTAAGCCAGAAACCTTCAGCTGATTTGACAACCCTTCGTTGACATGACAAATTATTTGAGGTTATAATGACTTCTCAAGAGAGAGGCAGATGGGGATCTCTTACAGAGAAAATTTCTTTGTAATTGATAACTTGTGACATTTTTCAGATATGACATGCCATTTTCCCCAGGGGTAAGTGTTCCCATTAAACCTCACAGAACCTTTTTGAGCTCTTCAATAGTATATCTGCGTAGAAACACATTGTGCAGTATCTTGAATAGCTTTTTGACAGACTTCATAAACCCCCAAACACCAGTTTGAAACTTAGATACATGGTAATCACTGCTGCTGATCACTTAATGACGGATTCTATCCACCAAACATCTGTCTAATATAATTTACCAGTCTCAGAAGATTATGGCGGTGATACTTTGAGACTCTGCTTAATTAAGGATATCATATTACCTGTGTTTCATCTTTATGTGCACATTACCTCTACAGTTGTATGTGGTAAGTTTGATTACTTCCTGTATCTAATTATTTATTTTGGTGTCAGTATGGGTCTGTGTGTAGATCTGCTAGGAATGTTAATTGCGAAGTGTAAGGCAAAATTGGAAGAGGGATTTTACATCAAAAAGCTTAGTTCTGCCAAGTTTTGCAAGTCAGAGACCAGTCAGTAGTGATCGAAGGACATATTAAATCTGGACAGTGTCCTGCCATGTGACTCAAGAGACAAGGGTTCTGAACAGACATAAGAACTACATATTGGGATACAATTAACATTTCTATGAATGCGTTATGATATTGTTTTGACAAGAACCAAATTGGAGTTTCTTTACAGAGAACCTTACTGGCCAAGTATTTTTGGTTTAGGGCTTTCTGTGTCTTAAGTCCTATTTTGTTTTTGAATTGTGCGTGCACTGTGAATTATTATTTTTTTCTCTGTTTTGTTTTATTTTAATGCTGTCAATGTACAAAAAAGTGTGTTACAAAATGATAATAGTAGCACCACAATGAGAAACTACCAGCAATAACGTTTATCAACATTACATTTTCTTTCACTATGAAATGGTAATTACCGTATTTTTCCGGGTATAAGACGCCATCATTTATAAGATGACACCTACTTTTTTAGCCCAAAATTAAGAAATACATATTTTAAACATCTATAACACTGAAGTCCAGTTTGACTGATCAGGATCCCCCACCGGTCCCGTGCCCCCTCACACTCCGGTAGGCCGTTCCCCAAGGTCCGCCAACGTCTGGACACTGGTATCCAGGAGTGCTGTCCTGCTGTTGGCAGCAACAATGCCCTCTGCCTGCCATACCCTACACAGGATGTGCTGGCAAGCCTCACCCTGTGGTGTCTAACTGTAGTCTGGAGCCGTGAGGTCTTGGCTTGGTCCAGAGTGATGTGAGGAAGCATGTGGTTACTCACGATCTCCCAGACCCACGCACAGAATCAAATTCACGAAGAAGCTCCTTTTCTGCTTCAAGTATGGCAGCAGGTCGCAGGTGTACAACACAGCCTATGCCCGCAGGAACCTGGCAGTGGCGAACCCAACAGTCAGCAAAGTGTTCTGTCAGCGAGTAGCCAAGGTTGATGGCCAAATTGTGCGAGTGTACGTGAAAGTATTTGGCTTAATAATTTGATTTTTGAAGGAGCTCCAGCCACATGCGACTTGCTTGGTTGGCTGTCAGACACCGCGCACAAGTGCTTTTATTTTTTTTACCCTTGCGGTGACATTCTGTGTATAAGACAAACCCCACTTTTAGACTAAAAGAGTGTAGAAAAAAAAACAGTCTTATACACGGAAAAATACGGTATGTCTTGTATTCATTGAACATCAGCATCAAATTTTCAAATAAAAGCAAGAGAAAACAAGAACACTTCCCCAGAGGGTATAAGATAACACTGATTAAATTAAATGAGGGGGCATGGGTGTGGGGGTGAAGCAGATGGTAGGGGTGATGAAGATCCTGGCTTGCTGATGTCTTGTTGTGTGTTTCTTTACTGCCATCTTGACTAAATCTTGTCAACCTTTCCTAGATAGTCTTGGATGCGATGAGACAATTCCTCATATTGTTTTATGAGATTAAGACGTTTTTCGACTTAATCAATTTTTGGGAGACACAAGATTTTCATTTTTGTGCAATTGCTGTATTGGCAGCCAGGAGAATGCGGAGAGCCAATGTTTTTTTAAAGCCCGGTTTTAACAGAAAGTAAGACGTCCGGTAGAGTTACTTCTGAAAATGCTGAAAGCTTTCGATTAGTAACCGACTGGATAAGATTAAGAACACCCCTCCAGAATGGCTGTTGCTGTAAATTATTAATTTTTTATATGTCTTTTATGTTTAATTGTTTATGTATGGTAATTTTTTTTTGTTTTGTGAAAATATTTATCCAATATTTGTCTGGACTCTACAAACAAGGTACATATAGAATTCCCAGGGTGCTGAGAATTTTAATATTTGAGTTGCCGCATTAGTCCTTTAATGTAGAATTAAAATAACGAAGTTTTGCAGTTTGCTTTTATACCTGTTTTATTGGACTAACAGAAATTTGTAATGACGAGTGTTTGAAAGTTCATCCCTTTAGTGCAGATTGATATGATCTATAAAGCTCTCTGCAGTGTTCGGTCCAAAGATGGCACGTTAATAAAATAATGGGGATAGTATTGCTTACTCCTGTCAGAGCAGAACATAATTTGGGAGCAGCTGAAAGCTATAAATAGCACTTAGTGCCAGCATTTGTAAATTATCAGTGGCTTTTACCGGCATGAAACACGTTTGCCCCACTAGACTTAGCAGTTAGTATATACCCATCGAATTATCATGGCTCACAGCTAACCGGCTTTAAAAGGAACAGCCTACTCATTCTATCAGGATTATTCACTAAACTCTGAATGGTGGAGAATTGAAACATGAAGTGCAAAATTTAGGATAACCTAGTCAAGCTGTGACTATAGAAGAATTGAAGAATTTTTCAAAATCAGCCATTTTAATCCGAGTTACCCTTTTCCATGTGATTATTTTTTTCCGGAGTTATCGATATTGGATTAGTAGTTGTTATATAGAGTTTCACAGCATTAAAGCTGTAATAGCACCTGATCAATTTTCAAAAATTGGTTTATAAATTGGATTTTTGTAAAATAACCTTGAAAGTGATTAATAATACCATCCAACATTTAGAGGTATGAAATGTGGACAGGATGGGAGAGTCATGCAATGCGCCACAGGCAAGCCATACGATATTCAGATCAGCCGTACACATACATGGCTGTAAGTGCCACAGTCTACAACATCGCTATTCCATTTGTTCGTGTGTTTAATGATGGACCTGGGGTGCACTGTTTGGTGATATTTCCCTGGAATCTTGATACGTGGCCCGCCCCTACATATCCAGCACGGTTGGTATATTACAGTAATGAAATGGGGATATGTTTAACTTTGACTGCATTTAAATGCAGGCATGCACACGGACTGCGGATATTTAAGTTTTATTTATAGAAAAGTATTCTGGTGGAAATCTTTTAAAAAAAAATAAAAACATTTTTTTAAACAAACAATACAGTAATTGACTTTTGGTTTGAAAATTGCTAATTGACCAGAAGAATGCATCGTGTTGATACCTTCGTGTACCCACGTCTCCTGTGCTGATCCTGATGCTTCAGCCTGAAACAAGGAGAAGAGAAGGAACTTTGAACAGGAATACCCAAGGACGACATAAATAATGCTTCGAACACGTAACAGATTTAATGAAATAGTTATCTGTTGTAAACAAAGGTTAATTAAAAGAATTACATACATTAGCAGTGCGGGTCAAGCTGGAGCATCTTACAAATTTAATTAGGTTCATCACATGCTTAGACGGTGTAATTAATTGATTGCCGGATGTCGGTGTTTTAATGGAGAAGGGCCCTTAACATTTCTATACAGAACACTATTTAATGTCTGCACTGATAAATAACCTGGGCCTCATCTCCTTTTAAAGGGTTACTGTAACTCTTTGTATGCATTTTTATTTTATGTATTTAGTTTAAAATGCCCAAACAAACATTAATTAGGTCCCCCCTTATAATCCTGAAAATAAAGAATACATTTACCTTAAATCAAGCCCCATGTGAAGGTGTGCGCGCCAACCACAGATGTATTATTTTAAGAACTGACATTAGTCAACTTGGAACAGATTTACAGGCTGTCTAAATCAAATGTACCAGGATTGAAGTAGCCCCCGAAACAATAGTGCAGAATAATTTGTATTTAAAATAGTTCAGGTAGAGACACAGCACATACAGACCCCTACCGCCATGACCACTTCTTAAAGCAGGATTGGTCAAGGTGGTTTAGAGCAGGGCTTTGTTTGGAATCTAGGAGCCATTTTTTTTTTTTTTAAAGGACACTATAGTCACCAGAACTACTACAGATTAATATAGTTGTTCTGGTGCCTATAGCCTGTCCCTGTAGCCTTTCCAATGTAAACACTGCCTTTTCAGAGAAAAGGCAGCATTTACATTGCTGCCTACTAAGACCTCTAGTGACAGTCACTCAGAGAGTCCTGTGTCAGTGCTCTGCATGGAGGCGCTGAATGTTACCCATAGAGAACAAATATCCTCCCAATGCTTTCCTATGGGAAAGCACTGGCTTAGCAGAGATTACTCAGTTATGGAGGCAGGACAAGCAACAGCGAAAAACCAGCATGGCGTGGGAAAAATGGTGAGTAAAAACATCAATATTGTGATCGGAGGGGGTACCTAAACCCTCAGCTACCTAAACAGACACACGCTCTCTGACAGGCATACACACACACACATACAGACACACTCATTGACAGAGACACACACACACACACACACTGACAGGCATACACACAGACATACACAAACAGACATACACACACACACTCTTTATCTAACACTCACAAATTTATATTTTTTATTCTAATCCATCCAGCCTCCCTACCTTTGGGAGAGCTGAGTGGAGTTTCCCTGGGGTCCAGTGGGGCTGCTATTCCTGTGCGCGATGGAGCAGTGATCTTCCTGCAGCTCCTCTCTGCTCCCTCGCGCTGTCTGCAGGGATCCTGGGGTCGGAATGACGTCATATTCCGGCTCCCGGCATCATTACTAAGCGCGAGGGAGCAGAGACGAGCCGCAGGGAGATCACTGCTCCCTCGCTTGCTGACGCTTCCATTTTTCCATTCTCGCCTCCACAATCTCTGAGCCGGCCGCCTCCACACAGCCCGGGGCAGTCGGCTACATGCTCCCTGAGCCGGTTGCCTCCATATAGTCCAGGGCGGCTGGCTATAAAGTTTTCTAACGCTCCCTGAGACCGCCGCTTCCATGCTCCCGCAGGCGGGTACATTAGGTAAAAGGCTGAAAAATACCAGGCGCCAGGGCAAAATTTTATGGCGACCGGGATTTGTCGAGCCCTGGTTTAGAGAACGCTTTACCACATGTATCAGTGACTGTAGATAATGGCCTGCTTTTATTTACCTGTGACACATTTTTTTTTGTTTCTTTTACCAAGGAATATATATATATATATACACACACACATGCTTTTTCAGTTTTCATTATTTAGGCCCATCACCGTAAAGCTCACGTTTGCGGCTTACTGAGGACTGAATTAGAGAATCTCTTTAGTAGTTTCACAGGTTTGATCTACAGGATCATACATCTGTACTGACTGCTTCATACAATTGAAACGTTTTTTTTTCTAGATATTTAAAACATGTATGTAACGTGTCTAATAAATGATATGGTATAGTCATAGTCAGATTTCCTGGCGTGTACACTAGGTAAATGTTTAAAGCTCTATTTCTCCAGAGATGCTGATGGAGCTAGGTAGAGAAATTTATATCTGTCTCTGTAATATTACCAGTTTATAATACAACACCTACAGCAAGTTTCACATCCACCCATCAGAGCTGATCTTAATAAGCCTTTAGATATGGATAACTGTGAGCCAACTCTGAAAAAGTCAGAGTAAATTCTCCTATTATTTTCCAGTCAATAAAGTTTCCCAAAAATACTAATTTGAGGGAAAATGAATAAACCTGTTATCACTATCATGTTACCTGAAAAAATAGCAACAGAAAATTAGGCAAACGATCAGGAGGAGAAACCCTGCGCCAAAAACCAGAACGAAGAGATTAAGTGGGACTCCACTCTGAGCCTCTCTGGTCATATTAAACTTCTGTAGCGGACGGTGATCTGCGAACATTCTGTATGGGGATTAAGGACGTGATATAAGAGAAGATATATCTGGTTACAGTTTAAAACATGAAAGAGAGATTAACAGTCGTGTCAAGTAAGAGGTAAGTCAAGGCCATGTCACTGTTGGACTAATCGGAGGGAATTCAGAATAAGGCCAAAATAGCTGTCCTGCAAATATTCAAAAATCAGTTATGTTTTATTTTGGCTATTCTGTCCTTAAATTTGAAATTCACTTTGAATTCTCACTTTAGCAAATAATCCCATATAACTATTTCCTTAAAGATAGACCAGAGCTCTACATTCATATTCTTATATTTAATTGTTAAAGTCTATAGGTCTCAGGGTGAATACGTAGATTCCGAGCATCACATATAGTGAAGCGGACATTTCTGAATGGTTTTCATACCTCCCAAGTGCCCCTCTTTAGGATAGACAGTCCCTATGTTGTCCCACTTTTATAGGAGCTCCATATTGTTGGTGTGTCTGTGTGTGTAACAGAGTTTCACAACAATAATGTGTCTTTAAACTACAATAAATGTGTTTAGAAATCAGTAGGTGTATATAAGATACATTGTTCTTGTTCTAAATTAGTGTAAAAGTGCCCTACTTTGTACATTTGAAACATTATTATTGACACCAGGGATAAGGTTCTACTCCAGCTATCCCTTTGAGAATAAGAAAAGGGAGTTTGGATAGACCTTACTGTTAAAAATAAACAATAAAATAAAAATTAAGTGTGTGTGTCTGCAAGTGTACATGATTGTGTGTGTGTGTGTGTGTGTGTGTATGAATGTGTCTGTGTACATGAAAGTATGTATGATTCAGGTTGTGTGTACGCATATGAATGTGTGTATAGTAATATGTGGAATGCGTGAGTGAGTGTGTGTTTGCGCATAGGAGTCTGTGTATATCTATATCAATGTGTGTCTTAGTGTACATGAAAATGGATATGTATATTAATATACGTGTATATGAACAAAATACATTTGCGCTCTGGGTGCCATGTAGATCCTTGTAGTTTGTCTCAGCGGCATACAATTTCTCTCTGAAGTTCAGAATGTGATAATGATTTTTACATGTGGAGGAGTAAGAGAAATGGATCATATCCTGGCATTCTATCCTCTCACACTGCGCCCAGTTTGCCTGAAGAGACCAGGCCGATGGAATGCAAAGCCTCCACCATGATATTTATCATCACGCAACTGGAGTCGGAGGTAGAGGATTGTCTCCTTCTCTTGCTCAGCCCCTCACTAAAATATTAAATCTCTCCCTCTCCTCTGGCATATCCTTCACCCATTAAGCACGCTACCATCACCCTAATTCTAAAAGGTCCAACCTTGTCCCCAACTCCCTATTCAACTACCGCCCTGTTTACTATGGTTTGCCTCCATGATCCTCAAGAGAGTTGTGTATGTAAGATTGACCAACTTGAATGAATCCAACTCTCTGCTTGACCCGCTTCAGTCTGGATTCCGCGCTTGTCACTGTCGAAACATCCCTGAAAAATGATTTAATTGCTGTAAAATTCAGTGGCCATTACTCTCTTCTAATTCTCCTAGACCGTTCTGTTGCTTTCGACATAGTTGATTATTAACTTATTCTCATCCTCCGTGATCTCAGTCTGCGAGGCTCTGCTCTTTCCTTGTTCTCCTTCTACCTCTCTCAGTGCTCTTTAGGTGTTTCTTTCTCTGGCTCTTCATCTTCTCCACAACCCCTCTCTGTCAGTGTCCCCCAAGGTTCTGTCCTTGGTTCCCTACTTCTCTTGATCTATACTGTCTCCCTTGGTAAACTTATCATCCCTTTTGGCTTCCAACATCATAATCTATGTGGATGACAGGCAAGTCTATCTGTCACCTGATTCCTCGCCGTCTCTCTTGTTTTGTCCCTCTGACTGCCTCTCTGCTGTTTTTAACTGGATGGCTGCTCATTTCCTAAAACTTAACCTGTCCAAAACACAACTTCTGGTCTTTCTTCCCTCAAGTGTTGCAGCTCCCATGTCTGGTCCATGCCGCTATCATCTCCTGCCTTTACTTCTGCAATCTGCTTCTCAGCTTGCTCCGCTACAGTCTATAATGAATGCAGCAGTGAGGTTCATCTTCCTGTCCGCCCGTCCCTACCCTCTGCCGAAGATCTGCCTCTATCCATTGTTCGTACTCGCACCTTTCACGCCTGCCTTCAAGACTTCTCTAGGGCTGGGTCTTTCCTATAGGTCTCCCTTCACCCAGTCTCCTTTCCTTCAGAAGATCATTAAAAAATTACCTCTTTAGGAAAGCATATCAATTAACCTGTTATTAACTTTCCCTTCAGCATCTTGGTTACCTATTCTGCTTCCTCTCCTGCATTTGTGTCATACAAAAAACGTCCTTAGCAGAATTCATCCAAACATTTTTAATCACAACAGGATTCATTGAGCGCGGATTCTTTGCTATAAGTTAAACATTACTGGTGGAAAACAGGTGAGACCTTTCTCAGAATCAGCATAGTATGCCAGGATTATGTCTGACCTGGTAATGAATGTCTTTCCAGCACTCAGAGCTGATTTTAAGCCGTTTGATTTTGTTTTGCCATTTCTCTTTGTCTCATTTTAGTAAATTCAGCAGATTAATAGAAACTGGAGCTGCAACTGTTGGTGTCCCTGCCATCCTATCACACAGAATAAAATAGTCCTCAGTCCCCTTGGGGTGATCTTTGACAATCTCCCATGATGACTGATATCTTGTTTAACCAATTCCAAAAAGAGGGCACGAAAAATAAATAGTAAAATAAAAAATAAAGAACTTTTTCAAAGATTAAAAATCCCAGTGAATATGTTGTGATAAACACTACAATCATTAAAATAATACTATCTACAACTGTTAAAAACAATAATGAAAAAAATGAATTATCTACTGCTGTATTCATTTTCTTTCATTTATTTGGATTTTGAATCTTGGAATGAAGTGGTTTATTTTTCTCTTAATGTTTGTCTCACCCTCTTTGTGGAGTGAGAGTCATTTATTATGTCACCAGATCTACATTGTGTTAGGATTACGTCCTGAAATTGGAAGGTTGCGAGTAAGATCATTTGATAAAACAGGATTCTCATGATTTTCTGTACAGCCCTAGTATTATCCTATTTTCATGACTTTAGACCAGGGGTAGGCATCCTTCGGCACTCCAGATGTTGTGAACTACACTTCCCATGATGCTTTGCTAGGATTATGGCTGTAAGAGCATTATGGGAGATGTAGTCCAAAACATCTGCAGTGCCGAAGGTTGCCTATCCCTGCTTTAGACCTAGCTAGTTTGACTGATCAAAGCTCAAATAGAATATTTATTTAATCCAAGACAGTGTAATGAAACTCGATCTCCTCGCTGTGACTGTAATCCCGAGATATCAAAATGCTTTTTAAAAGACCTGCAACAGCACATTTCTCTACAATGATTAAAATACCGAAATCAATGACCGCAACTTCTCTGAACTATCAGCAACTGAGTTAAAGGTAGTCTTAAAAACGGATTGGTCTGGATTGGAATGAATATCAGTGTAATTCATCTCAAACTTTAACAATTCAAAAAAAAAAGCACACAATATATACAATGTATAGAAATAACTCACGGTTATAAAATATGTACTTTCTTAAAAAGGAAAACAAAAAAAAACTATATATATAAAAAAAACAAAAAACTTTAGAATCGCAATGAAGAAAAACTGAATTGCAAAACTGAGGTTAAACCATCTAAGCTGTGACTGTAGTGGAGTTGGACAATATTTCTAAATCAGCACATTTTACCCAAATTTTTCCAATTAGTTTGCTGCCTCTGCTGAACTGCTTTATACTGAATTCCCTGAAAGGCAATGATACTGGCAGGGATTCCTGGGGACGGTCGTAAAACAACACGATGGATACCCCTGGTCTGTTCTAAAGTAGCAAAAAATGCATTAATAATACATTTAATAGAAATTAATAACATTAGTAATGTATCTTCAATCCAACAGTAAGTTCTATTTTATTTAGCTATCACAGCGATAAAGTGCATCCAAAATCTAGCGGGGGGCAATGCTCAAAGTTAGCATAGTATTATTAATCTAAGTATTTATTCCTATAGCACCAACATATGCCAAAGTGATGTACATAGCAAACAAAAATCTATTTAAACTAGGCAAATCTGAGCCTGAACGAATCATTGGTAAAACAAAATGGCCTTTAATTTTTTACCACTTACTTTTGAGAATGAGTCAGGTTCACGTAACATTTACAAATAGTAACAAAATAAAAGACTACTCACTAATTCTTCTATGAGAACCCATGCAAGCATCATACTGAGGCGTCATTACCCAAATGCCTCTACGTTAGCAGCACCGATCAGATGACTGTGTGAGGATAGCCCAGAATTGTACAGGAAATCCTGTTCTTTTATGCTGTTCTTTATCTCTAACAAAGAGGTGTTTTTTGGGATGATCACATGAGTTCAGCGTGTGCCAAGCCATTGTGTGCGATTTCTGTTGAATGGCAATGAGACTGCATTTAAAGGTACAGGACAAATGACTGAAATATATTACTCATTAACCAACCAGACATTCATTCTGCTGTAGGGGTTTTAAAGAATACTTTGCCACATTTTAAAAATGCATTTATGCATTGAACTGAAATTCCACACAGCAGGTGGCCTGTTTTTTATTTTACTGAATTACAATTATAATCCATTAAATAAATAAAAGGATAATCATATTTGAATGTTTCTCAGTTGTTAAATGGACACTATAGGCACTTAGATCACTTAATCTCATTCACGTGGTCTGGGTGCACTGTCCCTTTGTCCTTAACACTGCAATGGAAAACATTGCACTATCAGAGAAACTACAATGTGTTAATTGCATGGTTAGAGGAACCCTATAGGGTCATGAACACAAACTTGTATTCCTGACCCTATAGTGCTAAAAACACCATCTAGCCCCCCTTGCACTCTCTTGCCTCCCTAATTATAGTAAAATCTTACTCGTATTCATGTCTGCAACTCTGCCCCTGCCTGCTGACATCATCAGAAGTGGTGGTCTGAGCCAATCACAATGCTTCCCTATAGGATTGGCTAAGACTATCAAGGAGGCAGAGCCAGCACAAGTCAAACACAGCCCTGGCCAATCAGAATCTCCTCATAGAGATAAATTGAATCAATGCATCTCTATGAGGAAAGTTCAGTGTCTGCATGCAGAGGTGGAGACCAGGGCTCGAGTCCTGCAAGAACGCGTGAGAACGGTGTTCATGCACTTTGTTCACAGCAGGAACGCCGTTCCAGTTGCTCCTGCAGGCACTAATCAGGGGGGGCAAGAAATGCCAGCCTCATGGCCACCTGATGGACCCCCATCAGGGCGCCTGTCTACCGGTCAGATGCAGCGAGGGAGCTGTGTTCTCTCTGATTTTCTCCCTCACGCGCCGATGATGTCATATTCCGGCTCCTGGCATCAGTAGACAGCCCGCGCGGCAAGAGGGAGAAGATCAGAGAGAGCACAGCTCCCTCGCTGCGTCTGACCGGTACGCAGGCGCCCGCCTCACTGAAGCCCCAGTGGACCCGAGGGACAGGTCCACGCACCTCTCCAGGTAGGGAGGCTGGGTGGACTTTTTTCAAATTTAAAAAAAATATGAATAATTTGTGTGTTTCTGTGAATGTATGTGTCTGTGTGTGTATATGTGTGTATGTATCTGTGAGTGTGTGTCTGGGCACGCGTTTATATTTGCATATGAGTGTATATTATTTTATTTTTTGGGGGGGGGGAGGTTGGGGGATCTTAGGTGACTTGACCCCTGGTGGAGACACAGAATGTCAGTCACACTGTGCAGCACTGGCCCAGGAAGCAGCTTTAGCAGCCATCTGATGAGTAGACAGTGGAGTTATCCCTAGGCTGTAATGTAAACACTACATTTTATCTGAATACACAGTGTTTATAACAAAAGGCCTGAAGGGAATGATTCAACTCACCAGAACAAATGCAATAAGTTATAGTTGTTCTGGTGACTAGTGTCCCTTTAAGACTGCCTCTAGTGTCACTTTAAGACGGCCTAACAGACAGCCACTGGTGGCGCTTCCTGCAGTTAAATCCGTGAAACGACACTGGACATCTTCACACTTTGCATTGGGATGTCCAAAACCTTGAAAATTCCCACATGGAAGGCCTAATGTGTGAGCGTCAGTCGCCATGCATGCGCATTAGGTTCCCCCATTACCGTTAGTTCAGAGAATGCAGAATCACATAAGTTAAAAAAGGGTTTTTAACTCTGTTTGAGCTTGCTGTGGGGGACATAGTATGTGAGTGATGGGGCTTACTCTAGCCTTAGAAATATAGTTTTACATTCCTATAGAGTACCTTTAAGGGGATACCTATATTTTTTTCACATTTTTTTCATATAAAATTGGGGGTCATCTTATACACAGGATATCACTTGAGCGAGGGGTCTGATAGCCAACCAAGCTAGTCAGATGCGGCTGGAGTTCCTTCAAAAATGTAATTATTAAGCCAAATACTTACAGTACTTACTCAGCGCAATTTGGGCACAAAACTTGGCTATTCGCTGACAGAAAACTCAGCTGACTGTTGGGTTTGCTACTGCCAGGTTCCTGCGGGCATAGGCTGTGTTGTACACCTCTGCAACCTGCTGCCATACGTGAAGTAAAGAAGGCGCTTCTACATGAATTTGATCGATTATATGCGCAACCGCAGGCTTCCTCGCATCACTCTGGACCATGACAAGACCTCATGGCTCCGGACTACAGATAGATGCCACAGGATGAGGCTTTGTCCGGACATTCCCCATAGGGTACCATGGGCAGAGGGCATCATTGCTGCCAACAGTAGGACGTCGGTCTAGGGAACAAGTGCCCGGACCTCAAGGAGCGGCCTACTGGAGTGTGAGGGGGCTCGGAACCGGTGGGGGATCCTGATCAGCCAAACTAGACTTCAGTTGTATATATGTTTAAAATGTGTATTTCTTAATTTTGAGTTTTAAAAAAAAAAATAGGGTCTTATAAATGGGGTCTTATACACCGAAAAATACGGTATATCTTGCTGTAGTGATTACGATACCAGGGGTTTCCCGTGCCATTTACAAAGTTAGGAATAGAACCATTTTGCAACAGATTATCTCCTGCATGGAATCTTCATAAGAGCTGATCCCCCTGTGCATTCATTGGCTACGAGAGTCAGCAGTGTGATCTCAGTCAATGCATGAAACACTGTGCAAATAATATACACAAAACGAAGATTAACAAACACAGAATGAAACCTGCCTGAGATGTTTAGACATATTCTAGCGTATTATCAATATGATGCATTATAAAAAATGCATCAATCCTGACACTTTAATTTTTTAAATCTTCTTGGACCTGGATAAAACAGGACATGCAGTCCAATTCAGACGGCAAGTTATCTTTCATAATTTGTTCACAGCCCAACAGCTATAGCTCTGCCAAGAATAGTTCTAGTGCAGGGATAGGCAACCTTCGGTACCCCAGATGTTGTGAACTACATCTCCCTTGATGCTTTGCCAGCATTATGGCTGTAAAAGCATTATGGGAGATGTAGTCTAAAACATCTGGAGTGCCGAAGGTTGCCTACCCCTGCACTAGGGAGATACACCTCTTCTCTATATCTTGTGTTTTTTACATCCACAATAAGAGCATCCACAAAGACAGAAAAAAAACGTAATATAGTGAAATATTTATACAATATGTACTGTAAAAGTGGGTAATAATGGAGTGATGTGTATCCTCGACCCCGGGGTATGTCAAACATATGTAAATAAAATATCAAAAAATAAATATACTTGTGTGCCGTCCTGATGAAAGTTCCTGTTTGGAACTGAAATATCAACCTATTTGAAGATTGAGCAATAAACGAAAAAAAATATTCTGGAAGCCCTGGAGTGCTGATATTTATATTTGAACTAAATATATTTACTGCTGTAAAGCCCTGCAGAGTATGTTGGCACTATATAAATGATGATAGTAATAATAACATATTGTATTATGCCAAAGGAGAAAAAGAAGGTGGGGGAATTAAAAAAAATAAATAAAAAAAAAAAAGAATACTTTAAGTAAGACTATTTATAATACATTCAGGGCTATTTTGAATTGGAGGTGGTTCCCTGTACTGATTTCATATGAAAACAGCGGCATGATATATAGTAACTAAATCTACAAATATACATGTTTATTTAAAGGGACACTATAGTCACCAGAACAACTACGGCTCAATGTATTTTTTTCTGGTGAGTATATGTCCCTGCAGGCTTTTTAATGTAAACAATGCTGTTTCAGAGAAAAGGCAGTGTTTATACTGCTCCCTAGGGATACCTCCAGCGGCCACTCCTCAGATGGCTACTAGAGGTGCTTCCTGGGTCAGTGCTGCACAACGTACAGCACTCCACACTCTGTATGCAGACACTGAACGTTCCCCATAGAGATGCACTCATTCAATGCATCTCTATAAAGAGATGCTAACTGGCCAGGGTGGCGTTTGGCTCTGTCCCTGCTCTTCCTCCTTGGATATTTAGAATTGACAATATTAGCCAATCCAATTCTTTCCTATGGATTGACTGAGATCATCAATAGTTATGATGTCAGCCAAAGAGGCAGATTGGGGGCGGGGCCGGCAGACTCACATAGTGCTGGAATAAAGGTGAGATTTTACAAATTTTAAAGGGGAAGGGAGCTGGCTACCTAAAGGATAGAGGGGAGTGGTGAAGGATATGTTTGTATTTCTGACCCTATTGTGTTCCTTTAACATTGTTATAGTGACATTACATTTTAACATTGCCTCCAACAGAGAAAGCAATAGTTAAAAAGACAAAACATTTAAAAAAAAAGGAATTGAGACAGAGAAGTTCTTACAGTGCTTAATATAAAAGAGAATATAATATCAAAAATCTTTTATTTACCAGACTGTTCTGTGGACATTTTACTCAATAGTTTTCTGTTTTAAGCTATTTTAATTCCCAACGCCCACAGCTTGTGACTCATAGATTATCTCAGCGACATTTCCCTTTCTTTTGCCAGTCATCACTGTTTACATTTTTAAAAGTAAAAAAATCCACAAAAAAAAATAAAAATCCCCCACAAAACACGTACAGTATTATACACTAACGTGCAATTTTGAGGAATTCCAAGTAAATTTCACATTTTAGGTGAAATAGAGGAGTGGGAATAAGTTTCAAACTCAAACATTTTGGATAAAAATCTGAATTTCAAATGTAATTGGAAAAGCTCTGAAATTTACTGAGAGAAGAAGGCAATGCGACTCATAAAGTAAGAACAGAATTTGGACAATATTTCCAAATAGTTTGGTGAAAAACGTGCAACTATTTTGTCCATTCTCTCCAGTCTAGTGACTATCCCCCTAATCCATATTTTTCAGATGAATGAATTTATATGTTTATGCGGGGTAAAAAAAATAAATGTATCAAACATAGAAACAATAATTCTTGTGAACAGATGGTCCATTAGATCAGAATCAGGAAAGAGAGCCTTAGTGTTCATGAAAAACGAGGATTCCTCTTTTCCTCTATCTGGGGATGATTTCATAAAATTCATCCTTTAAATAAAAACAAAACATTTCTAAAACCAACATAAAACATGCATGAAAAAAATGAAACCAGGTCTTACCTGAACAACGGGTCTTCCGTCCGCTGCTATCTTCTCATCACAGTTCCAATCTACTTCCTCTTACGATAAGGAAATCATTACGGACCAGCAGTAAGATCGTGGAGGTGGCTGCAAGGGACCGGGTCAGGAAATGACCTTCTCCTGCACCCTGAGCCCAACAGACACCTAGTGGAGCAGTCACAATCAGGGGTCTTTGCAAATTATGCAGATACCCTAGACCAGAAGTGGACAACCTTCAGCACTCCAGGTGTTCTGGTCCACATCTCCCCTGATGCTTTGCCAGCATCTGTGTCCATAAGATATGGGAAATGTAGTCCATATGGAGTGCCAAAGGTTGCCTACCACTGCCCCAGACGGTGGTAGTCCTGCAAAATAATTAAACCGGAAACAAACACAGCATTTTTTTCTTTTGACTAAATTTGCAATGCAATCATCATTCTGTGTACTAGACTGGTATATATTGGCATGTGAATTCTGACTCTCTTACTTACTTTTTTTACTCCACGGACAGAAAATTTTAGAACTTCTAGTATAGATCACTAAAAATTATTTATTATAAGTAATATTTTACTTTTCTGTTTTATCAGGAAGAAGGGGGAATAGAAAATAAACTCACTGATAAATTTGCTGTGAAAAATATGAAATATTTTATTGTAAAACTTGCATGCATTAAAAAAAACAAACCATATATACAAAATTTATAACGAGAAACATACAATTCCTGAGGATTTAACAATGTTATTTGCAATACATCATTACTTTTAGTGTTGCAATGACGATACTGTATGTATGCCACATGCACACGTAAATGGTTAAAGACACTCTAGGCAGAAGGACAAATATGGTTTATAATAAAGTTAATAATAAAAGTACCAGTCTTAACATGAACACATAAATACAAACTGATCTCTCATGTCTAAAAGGGAATCTCATCAGGTGTCCCTAACCAAAGACACTTCTATGCAGCATAACAGGAAAAAATGTAACGTAAAAGATTTAGCCCTGCTGTGTTCATCAATTTTTATTTAAAGAGACCTAGCCGAGAAACTGCAAAAGGCATATACGAGTGATATTACAGTTTTCTATGAAATTATACTGAGCATAATTGTATGTGAGTCATACAGATTGCTCCTGGGGACAGACCGACAGTGCCAAATCTTGGATATAAAAAAAAAAATAACAAAAAACTGATACAACAACAAGAATAGGCATTCAACATGGAAACAACTTGCAAAAGATAAACATGCAGATATTTATTTTATATATTCAGGGCCATTTACTAAAGTGGGAATTAAAAGTGACTTTTAGATTTAAAGGACCACTATAGTGCCAGGAAAACATACTCGTTTTCCTGGCACTATAGTGCCCTGAGGGTGCCCCCACCCTCAGGGACCCCCTCCCGCCCGGCTCTGGAAGGGGGAAAGGGTAAAACTTACCTTTTTCCAGCGCTGGGCGGAGAGCTCTCCTTCTCTCCTCCTCCTCCGGCTGAATGCGCACGCGCGGCAAGAGCTGCGCGCGCATTCAGCCGGTCGCATAGGAAAGCATTTACAATGCTTTCCTATGGACGCTGGCGCTCTCACTGTGAAAATCACAGTGAGAAGCACGCAAGCGCCTCTAGTGGCTGTCAATGAGACAGCCACTAGAGGATTAGGGGGAAGGCTTAACCCATTAATAAACATAGCAGTTTCTCTGAAACTGCTATGTTTATTAAAAAATGGGTTAACCCTAGCTGGACCTGGCACCCAGACCACTTCATTAAGCTGAAGTGGTCTGGGTGCCTAGAGTGGTCCTTTAAGGGTGGAGTAGCCAAACTGAAAGAATGTAGGACTTTTCTCCCAATTTGGCTATTTTGCGCCTATATCTGACATTTACTTTGAGTTCTCAAATTGGTGAATAACCCTGATTATCTTTCTAATGCAATATAGATATTGGAAAGTCCACCAAAATGTGTACATTTAAAAGGCGCCTTCATCTAGGTTTCTAATAAGAGTTCAGATGCGACACGTGATAGTTTTAACAAAGGAAGAAAATATAGATAATCATCATGGCCTGATTGGGAGATGATTCAGTATTGTTCCTGTTATAGTTTGACAAGAAGGCAAGGTTTTAATTATAGAAAAATATATATATTTTTTAACCCAAGTGACTTTTTAAGAGTTTTATTTACTAAATTCCAGACTGTGAGGAGTTCTCTTCGGAGCCGATTACATTCAGATACATTTTTATCGTTTAGCATTTTCTTTTTGCCAATTTGGACCTGAGAAGCCCTTGACTGGTCCTGAAGTAAGCTTGAGGAGCTGTTAACTGGAACTCAGATACAACTAGCAGTAAACAATGTTTTTATAAAGTTCACTCTGAATCCAGCTGAAATAGGACCAATTAAGCTTTTTTTTAATAAATACCTTTATTTGTAACGCTGGAGTGGCATATTGGCAATTCAGATTATTGCCAGCCACGGCTCTCCCCAAAATAAAGACAATTCCTTGACACAGCTCTGCTCCACTTGCTATGAGATCATCGGCACAAATCTTTTTTTGGCCAACAGAATGCTTCTCATAGAGATACACCGGGACGCAGGACTATGAGAAGCATTGCTTTACATTTTGGTTTGGGTACAAAGCAGACAGGAAGAGCAACCACCCTCTGGCTATCTGACTAACGACTGGGAGGATGAAAACCAAACACTTTATAAACGTGCTTATTTCTTTTGAAATTAGCACTTTTATTAAGCATGAAAATGGGGAGACACTTTTCTGAAGTGCTTTAGTGGTTTGCAGTGTTTTGTTCTTTTTCATATTTATCTCATGTATCCATACCAATATATCGTCTACCACAGAGAAGGTCAAAATTAACCACTGTTGTAGCATTATGTCAAATCATCACAGAGGCTAGACACCGTTGTGGATCTTCTGACCACACTTGATCTACCACGTGTACCCTCTTAGAAAAGAAGGTCTGTATTTTGTGAAAAGAATAAATATATTTATATATTATCTTATCAGAAGTATTCTCTGCGTGGTGCTAGTGCGGAGTCATGTTGTTCCAGGTTTAGACCCTTTTTAAAGCAGTCATCTAGTCATTCATCCCTAGCCAGGAACTGGAGTCTTGTAGGACATGTTTTATATCTCAAATATCTGCAGCACATTGTCTGTTGCAAGATCTGTAAAGAGATAACAACTTGTGAACATCTTACACTCAATAGGTGGTGTCTCTGTATTCAAAGTTCCGATGACCAAACAATCTCTCCATTTGTCCCACCATGTCATCCCATCAACACCATTACCCTGGTTACCAGTGATTAGCCCCAAAAAACATAAAGTACTCTTGGTTAAGAAGTCAAGTCCATGCAAAGGTTTACACTGCGAGCAGTGCCATTTCACGTCCATCCGGATCCATACCATTCCCAATTACTTTCTTTGCCCATTTGTGGAGACGGCTGTACAATGGAAAGCCCTTGTTTTCCCGGTACAAGTAGACACCAGTAATTTCATTCCACTGAGGACTTGGCTGTGTCTCATCCACTGGGTAATCATGGACCATTTCCTTCTCATCTTTATCCAAAGCAACAAAGCCAAAGAACTGCTTGACATTACTGGCTGCTAAGACCTTCGCATGGACTTCAGCTGTACGATTAAAAAGATCATTCTCACAGCTCCGGTATTGAGCCCAGTAGGCCTCCTGATGGTGACTTAAAGGTGAACAACAATGTTGCAAACATTTGACCAAAAATATTGTCAATGCAACTATTCCAATCACCATCCATCCAAGGAACTAAAGGAGAAGGGAAATAAATTATTTATATTATCTAGAATTACAAAATATAATTTTCATTTGAAAAAAATTGGCCAATACATATTTATGTGCAATTACATGGACAACAGACACATTTAGGCTCAAAGCTAATTATTAAATGTTTTAAAACCAATCAATAACTAACAAGTGAGCTTTACTTGATTCCTACCCAACTGTAGATGACCAACAAAATTGACCAATATGGCTTCAACACTCTCTACTGATGTCATAATGGATTACACCAATGTAATAGAAACAGCCATCAAAGACAGTGGATATGTGTCCTTAATCCCAAATATTGTTGTTGGACTATACATTTTCTGTTATTTTAAAGAAATTAATGTATTAGTTCAGCAGCAACCTTGGACAATCTTGGTAACTTATAACTGATACATTTATACCAGCAGATCCTGGCCACAGACGTAATTACTTTGCTACCATAAGTAAAGCAGTGCAACAACACTATGGATTAGTGTTTTGTGTGTATAAAATTAGTACATTTACAAAATTAAAAAAATATATGGAAGTGAAGCAACCGCACTGAAACAAAAATAAACTTTAATTTAGGATTAAAAATCTTGTTTTGTATTCTGTATAAAAATAACAGACACTTTTAAAGTTACATAATTACATCACCATTCTGCAATATTTGCCAGGAAGAAAAAAAAAATGTAAAAAAAAAATAAATATATATATATATATCACCATTTGAAAGTATACATTTAATTGTACCCTCATTTTGCTTTAAACACACTATAAAAGAATACACACACAGAAAATGTACAAAAATAACCAAAGTGATTAACCGTATGGGCTAGAAAAGCCATAGCTAAAATATGCCCCACTATGACTTATGAATTAAACACACAAGTCTGTTAAGAAATACCATGCTTAATGTTCAAAATAAACACTTCAGGCACAAAAACAGCTTTAGCTTAATTAGTCGGTTTTGGTGTATACAGGGCTGTCTTTAATATCAATTGGACCCTGGGTAAGCATTTGCTTGGGCCCTCTAAACTGAAAGATACACACACTGACAGACATAGGGACACACACATGCAAACCTAACATTTTTATAGCCACCCTCCAGTTTCCTACCTTTTGCTGGAGGGTGGCTTCCCTGGGGTCCAGTGGTTCTGGCTAGGTTGGTTGGGAGTAGGGGCTGGCTTTCTCCCAGCCTTGCCCCCTCCTCTCTGCCTCCTTCCGCGCAGCTCCAGTACTCTCGTGCCATCACTTTCTCCCAGTTACCGATAAGCAAGGGGCCTGGTTGTGCTGTTAAAGGGCCACAGCACCCGATCGGGCCCTGCTGAAACATGCCAACCGGTGGGCCCCCTAACAGTGTGGGCCTTGGTGCAGCCCCACTGCGGGCCCATGGGGTAGCTAAAATATTTTTTTTCTGGGCAGTGGGGCCACGGGCCAGCTGCTTTGGGCCCCCCAGGAGTAACTGGGCCCGGGGCAGCTGCCCCATATTAAAGACGCCCCTGGATGTATAGATCATACATTTGCAGTCTCACTGCTCAATTCTCTGCCATTTAGGAGTAAAATCACTTTGTTTATGCAGCCCTAGTCACACCTCCCTACATGTGACGCACAGATTTCCTAAACACTTCCTGTAAAGAGAGATCTAATGTTTAAACTTCTTTTATTGCACGTTCTGTTTAATTTAGAATTTCCTGCATTGAAAATTGCCTTTAAGACCACGCAGGGGTCTGTGTGTGTGATTAAGGTTCAACTTACAGAACAGGAGATAACTTGCTATAGAACTTTTTTAACATCTGATTGAAAATTAAACCTTTTTTTCATACATGCTGTGTCAATCACTGCAGAGATGTGGCTAGGGCTGCATAAACATAAACCAAAGTGATTTAATTCCTAAATGACAGTGAATTGAGCAGTGAGACTGTAGGGCCATGATACACAAAAACTTAATTAAGCCAAAGTTAATTTGATGACTAACGTGTTCTTTTAAGTCCTTTTTATGCATGTCCTAGACCCAAACTATTTTTTAAGGTTTGGGTTTTTTTTTTTTAATTAGAAGTCCACTCACTGAGACTGCACAAGTAAGGCAAAAGTTTGGACCTAACCACATGCATTGCAAAATCACTAATTTCTTATTTGCATTCTGTACCAGGCTGTGGCGTGTGAAAAATCTCAAGAAGTCATGTTTTTCAACAATTCAAAAAAAAACACTATGTCTAACACCAACAATCACACAGCAGTCAAAGTGGCTTAGATTGTGTGTCTTTTTGTAAATCTCTTAAAAAACCCACAATTTACAGTGCCCAGTGAGTGTGGTATGTACTGATTGTTAACCAGATGTGTTTTTTGATTTAAAAACAAAACAGAATTAAAGATTGGAAAATACAGACCTGTGAATTGACACCAGTGTATGTAAAAATATATACGGTTGATAGATTATGACAAACTACTTTAATTGTGTTAAATAAGGTTAATTAAATGTACAGCAAGGTGTTACAGGTTTGCAAATGCATTTGATTCAGTTAAAAAAAAAAAAGGTTACTGTTTAAATCGAAAGACAGGATTACAGGAAACAGAACCAGAAAATACAGAAACAGTTCATTTTTCTCGTCTTCCAATGCAATGTGTGCAAAAAAACTGGACTGCAATGTCAATATCTAAATCTTTAATAAACATTTAAAAGAAAACATCACATGAATTATTTTTTTTATTCAAAATTCTAGGTGTTTTTTCAATGTTGTATATAAGGGGGATTTCCCAAAAAAGTGAGACTGTTCCAAACGGACTATAATGGGCTCCTGATAGTTCCACGTGACTAACATCATTTAAAAAGGATTCCTTTTAGAACACTGTGTAAATGGATGACATGGCATAGTTATAGGTCCCTGCAAATTGCATTAGATACAGTTTGCACACTGGCTGGATGGAGAAGAAATCTTAGACACCAAGTGTTTTGGTAAGTTTAGATTTTATTTGTCATTATTAGACATTTTTCCTGGAGTAAGAATAACTTTTTATTTTGTAATTATTATTTTTATAACTTTGAGCAAGTTTTTTTCTGCTATAGAAATGAGAAGGCAGAGAATTTAAAGGACCACTATAGGCACCCAGACCACTTCAGCTCAATGAAGTGGTGTGGGTGCCAGGCCCATCTAGTGTTAACCCTGCAGCTGAAAACATAGCTATGTTTACACTGAGGGTTAGTCCAGCCTCTAGTGGCTGTCTCACTGACAGCCGCTAGAGACGCTTCCGTGATTCTCACTGTGAAAATCACAGTGAGAAGACGCTGGATGTCCATAGTAAAGCATTGAGCAATGCTTTCCTATGGGCAGTTTGAATGCGCATGCGCATTCGGAGCTAAAGTCGGCAGAGGGAGGAGAGTTCCCCAGCGCCGAGGGAGCCTGGCGCCTGAGAAAGGTAATTGGCTGAAGGGGTTCCCCCCCTGGAAATTGAGTATTTGAGTATTTCATAAAGTTAAAATCTTGAAGAAATACTAATTTTGACTGTGTTGGAATTTCACTGAAATTCTGACCCAATCAAAAGATAAACTGAGACAAAGTAGGGACTATCCTGACAACTGTCACTTGTGACATTTGCAGGGAATTGGCTGTGTCTATAAACTGCGGATCCTCTATAGACCTCAATGCTGCACTTGCGCATGCACAAGAGTACATTAGTGACATTAGCTCTGAAGGGGTGCCGCCAGATCAAGATGGCGGTGCCCGCAAGGGACAGGTTCCGCCAAGTAAACTCACCTTTAAATGTCCCCCCCAATGTTGTCACTGTTGGGGGTCTATGTGAATTTGACAAAGTCCCCAGACAGTGACAGACGTGCTTTAATAGCTTGTTGATCAAAATGTGATTACAGTGTTCTAACTGTATTTACTGTAGGGTTAATCGGAGAGCTTGTCGGAAATTGACTAGACAGTTTCCTGTGTTACTTTTACTAATGTGCTAAATACCTCCTGTACTCTTCAGTTGATAGCATGTGACCGTTGTAGAGGCTTTTTACAACAAAAAGTGTGTTAGGTTGGTGACAGTAAATATCACATTCTTTCGTTAAAAAACAAGGACAGACGAGATACCACAGGATATTACACAGAGCAAGTGGTGGGACATTAAGTCACTTTGTTGGCAAAGTAACAATTCAAAATAAAATCTCTTAGAAATTTGACAAAATGTTAAAGATTTAATAGATAAATGAAATATTATGCCAGGAGAAATCTTAGACTGCAGCTGAATTATTTTCAAAAACACAAAAAGTAAACAAATTTATAGAACAATCCATGGCACCCAGTGCTGAGCATTTAAGAGTTTTATAACAGCATTATCTGAATGCCTAAAATTGTTTGTCTATATATATATATATATATATATACACACAAACATACATATACACACACACATACACCCAACCTATAACATTTACCCTACTCAAAGTATTTAATGTACGCATACAAAAAGTAAAAAGGGGTAATTTTAACATCTATATTCTGAAAATGTTAACTAATCCATGCACAGACAATCTGTTCATATCTTCTGACATGATTTCCTGGTGATTTAAAGATGAAAGTGATACAGACTATGCAATGCTATTTTTACCCAAGCGCTGCACGCTTGTTGGAGTTTCGCAATCAGATTAACTAATGTAAGGACCAAACTAAGGGCATAATGACGCTTTGTTAAAGGATCATACTTTTTTTATATTTGTCTTTTACTCGTATATACAAGTAAATACTGCTTTTCACTGCATGTTCTGACTTAGATTTTATCTAGAACAGCTTTTATCTTAAAGGAAAAATCTTTAACAAAACAAAAGTGGGTTTCCTCATTAACCCCGTAAGGACCAAACTTCTGGAATAAAAGGGAGTTATGACATGTCACACATGTCATGTGTCCTTAAGGGGTTAAAGGGGTTGGCTCTTTTTAAGCTCTTTGATCAGAAGCAGAGCTTATCCGAACAAAAAACACGCAGAAAATCAAAAGCTAGATGTAGTGTATTCATGGATCCTGTAATAATGAGAAAGCACAGAGCGTTAAAAAAGCAAAACAAATAAAAATCTAAATTTGCAGGTAAGGGGTGATTCTGACGAGCGGGCTAAAGATGGCAGCTTTCGCACAGGTAGAGGAAGCCAGGAAATGTACTAACATGAGTTATAATAAGTTATGGATGCACTATGAAATATTGCAGACACAGGCTATATTATGCACAACCTTATATTTTCAGTAATAATAAAAATGATGACAGTTTCCCTTTAAGCAATACGCAGAATTCAGGAACGTTCTGAATAACTTATAGTACACAAATGAAATTCTACTGTATATCCCAAAAGCACACTACAAATCGCAAGAGATATAGCTGATACATAACTTTACCAGATTTTTTTACATTTTATTTTATTTCATAAGCCGACAATTAAAATAAGTAAAATATATCAAATGCAAGATATAAAGCATTTTCAAAGAGGTTTAAAAAAACAAAAACAAAGGTCAGATCTGTTGGCGAGACCGTAAAAATCCCCAGAAAGAAACAAACTACAAACTATAATGTAAGCGTTTAAGTAACAGAGGATTTTATTTGTGGTGCCGTTTTATAGCCATTAGGTGTAAGTTCAACTGACATCTAGTGATGTCCCGAACGGTTCGCCACGGACGGCGAACATAAACATAAACTTTGACCCTGTACCTCACAGTCAGCAGACACATTCCAGCCAATCAGCAGCAGACCCTCCCACCTCCTGGACAGCTCACTAAGAATGCAGCTTCACAATGAACAAAATGGATGCTGTCCAGGAGGTGGGAGGGTCTGGGAGGGAGGGTCTGCTGCTGATTGGCTGGAATGTGTCTGCTGACTGTGAGGTACAGGGTCAAAGTTTATGTTTATGTTCGCCATCCGGTGAACCGTTCGGCGAACTGTTCGGGACATCACTACTGACAACTTCTTATGTAAGTTCTACACTAATAGTTACAAGGCTGCTTTTAACGTAAAGAAAAAATGTTTTATAAGACAGAGATGGGTTTCCTTATTGAAACCTCTAACACCCAGTGGCATCATTACCAGCACAAATGGTCAGGGAGGTCCGTGTCCAACTAAACTTGCCACTTTCTGAACTTTTTGCCACTACAATATAAAATACATAAATTGCGTACACATAAAACAACGTATTACCTGGGATTCATACATTAATCTTCTTCTTGCTTCTTCTCTAAAGGCCAAGATTTCGGTTGAGGCATCCTTACAGGGAATTCTCGCCATGACATTTGGTCCGTAAAAATGTGTTACATCTGGAAATGACAAAGGATTAAGGAATTCACTCCTGGAACAAACATAGGCTTCTCCCCGAAGCAGTGAAATCACTGACCAAGTGATGGGAGCCACCATTGCCCGTCCAACAACAGATCCAAATAGTAAGAATGTTGCGGGAGCAGAACAGTTCTTTATCCCCCTTCTTCGACATTCCGCTACCATATTCCACATGTGACTATTTAGCATTATTCCAATGAGAAATAATACGAGGGCCGGGACCCCAATAGCAGCCAGTCCATACAAGTAATTTCTCTCTGGAGAGCAAGGGCAATGAAAAGCGACCACTGAGAATAATTCCTGACTCCCCACCGTTCCGAGGGCAACAAGTCCATTAAATATCATAACATCTTTGCTTTTAAAGAACAGAGCAAGGAATTTAAAATTCTCGGCTATGAAGGACGCCATTGTATCTCTTTGGTTTTATGGCGTGGTTGCTTGAGATACGGTAAATCTTCACTCTATAGAATGCAAAAAGGGAAACAAAAAAAATGTTCATTATTTAACTGGCATATAATATGCTACCCACAGACTATCTGCGCTCTATTTATACCCAATTTGGTGCCCGCAGCTTCCTTAGTTACTTTTGTTTCCTGTTTGAAATTTAAATGCAGTAAATTAGACAATAAGATCATTCTGACAATGGCTGTGACACTATATAAGAAAATTAAGCTGAACTAGGGCCTCCAAATACTTCCGGGAAGCAAACAGTCTCTAAATTGTACCGTTGATTAGTTTAGCCAGGGTTTTTTGTATTGTAACACTGATGTAACATCAGTATTGTAACAACATCTTTATCAAGGTTAATTACTAAAGAAAGAATTGCTATCAATTCAAAGTTAATCTCACATTTAAAGAACCACTATAGTGCCAGGAAAACATACTCGTTTTCCTGGCACTATAGTGCCCTGAGGGTGCCCCCACCTCTTTCCTCTGCAAAAGTAAAATCACTTCAATAACCTCATAACCACACTCTCCCGCGAACCCAAATGACTATTTCACACATTTAATTTTCTCCTTCGCCCTGTTGCTCCCCCTCCTCCTACCACCCTGTCCGCCTCAAACTTTGCAACTCACTGCAATGAGAAGATTTCTACAATCAGGGAAGATACCTCTAATCTCTCTCCCTCCCCTTCCAATACATCACCCAACCTCACTCCCTCTGCTGTTCTATGCTCATTTGCTCCTACTACAATGGAAGAGGCTTCTGCTCCGCTCCGGTCCTCCCACCCCACCACCTGTTCCCTCAATCCTATTCCTTTATATCTCATCCACACTATGTATCCTCTCTTGCTCTTCCTCTCACTAAAATTTTCAATCTCTCCCTTTCCTCTGGCACATTTGCTTCACCCTTTACGCATGCAACCATAACACCAATTCTGAAAAAAGTCCAACCTTGACCCCAACTCCCCATCCGACTACCTCCCTATATCGCTACTGCCATTTGCCTCCAAGATCCTTGAGAAAGTGGTATATGAGAGATTGAGGGCTATCGAAGGGGCTATCAAGGTCCCGAGCGCGCAGTCCAGCACCCCCCCGACATTAGAGAGACGCCCAGCACTTTACCGACACTGGAGAGACATTATATCCATCCAAGGAAAATTAGCAGGACTACCAGGATATCTTGTACTGCGAACAGCTCATTGTATCATCAAATTGTATATATTACAACTTTGCCTGCAACAGGACCTGCCTCTACGGAAATATTGGTGAGATCCACCCAAACATCATAGTGTGTACACACTGTGACTGTATATACATAATTTTTTTCATCTTTAATTTTTTCATTATTCTCTATTATTTTTTCATTATTTTCTATAATGTTTTCAATTTTTATTTTTTGTACTCAACCTTTTGCAAGAAATATTCCAGATAGCAATCTGGGCTCTCAAATATATAAGTGCAGTTAAGCACTATCACTATTAAGTAAGTCGGACTTTGTAGGGGTTTATTTATAAATGCATGGAGTTTCACTGGTTGCGATAGGATATATCATCTCCACAAGACATATTGTTGTAGTATCTTCTCACTTTTTTGCATATATTAAATTAAATATAACCACACTTGAAACATTAATTATTTATTAAATAGAGTAATTACTTATATCAAAAATTATTGAGAGATTGACAGACTTCCTCGAATCCAACTCTCTGCTTGACCCGCTTCAGTCTGGATTCCGCGCTCATCACACTTTTGAAACAGCTGTGACCAAAGTATCCAACGATTTAATCCCTGCTAAGTCTCACGGCCATTCCTCTATCCTAATTCTCCTTGACCTTTCTGCTTCCTTTGACACTGTTGAACATCAACAGCTTCTTCTCATTCTCTGTAATCTCGGTCTACGGGATACTGCTCTCTCCTGGAGCTCCTCCTACCTCTCCCAGCGCTTTTTCAGTGTTTCTTTCTCTGGCTCTGCCTCTTCTCCTCAACCCCTCTCTGTTAGCGTTCCCTGAGGTTCTGTCCTTGGTCCCCTACTGTTCTCTATCTACACAGGGCCGTCTTTAACGCGGGGCAAACGGGGCAGCTGCCCCGGGCCCAGTTTCTCTTGGGGGGGCCCGAGGCACCTGCCCCGTGGGCCCTGCTGCCCTCATCAATTTATTTTTTTCCCCATCCTCTGAGTCCCACCGGGTGGCCCATGCACTTAGGGCAGTGGCGTACATACCAGGGTCGCCCAGGAGGCGGCCCTGCTGACCCCGGCGGGCGGGTGGCCGGTCGGGCAGGAAGGCAGGCGCGCGAGGGAGCACTCACTGCTTCCTCTTCAGCTCCCCTCCGCACACTGCCGGGCTGGGCGCGGCGTGAGGGAGCTGAAGAGGAAGCAGTGAGTGCTCCGCGCCGCCTTCCTGCCCGACGGCCACCAAGGGAGCCCAGCAGCACCACTGGACCCCAGAATCCCCCAGCACTCCGAAAGGTAAGGAGGCTGGGGGGATTACATTTAAAAAAATGTGTGTGTGTGTGTTAGTGTGTTAGTGTGTGTGTTTGTGTAGTTATGTGTGTTAGTGTATGTGTGTAGTGTAGTGTTAGTGTATGTGTGTGTTAGTGTGTTGTGTATGTGTGTAGTGTGTGTAGTGTGTGTGTGTTATGTGTGTTATGTGTGTGTTAGTGTATGTGTGTGTTAGTGTATGTGTGTGTGTTTGTGTGTTAGTGTGTGTTAGTGTATGTGTGTTAGTGTATGTGTGTGTTAGTGTATGTGTGTGTTAGTGTATGTGTGTGTGTGTCAGCATGTCTGTCTGTCTGTCAGTATATATATGTGTGTGTATATCTGTGTGTGTCAGTATGTCTGTCAGTGCGTCAGTATGTCTGTTAGTGCATGTGTATGCATGTGTCAGTATATCTGTCTGTGTGCCAGTATGTCTGTGTGTGTGTGTGTCAGTATATCAGTCTGTGTGTGTCAGTGTATGTGCCTGTGTGTGTGTGTCAGTATTTCTCAGTGTATGTGGGTGTCAGTATATCTGTCAGTGTGTGGGTGTCAGTATTTCTGTCAGTGTATGTGTGTCAGTATGTTGATCAGTGTATGTGTCTGTGTGTGTGTGTCAGTATGTCGGTATATGTGTCTGTGTGTCAGTATGTCTGTATATGTGCCTGTGTCAGTATGTCTGTCAGTACGTCTACCAGTGTATGTGTCTGTGTGTGTGTCAATATATGTACCTGTGTCAGTGTGTCTGTCAGTGTATGTGCCTGTTTATCTGTATGTAGTCAGTGTATGTATCTGTGTATCTGCTTGTGCGTCAGAGTGTGTACCTGTGCATCTGAGCCGCAACTTTAAATACAAATACACCCCTCCATTCAAACTTCAACACTACATATAAAACACACTCCTGCATTGAAACGTCAACACTACATACAAGCACACTCCTACATTCAAAAACAAACACTACACATAAATGCACACTTGCATTCAAACTCCAGTACCACATACAAACACATTCACACAAACATACTCCATACAAACACATGCTTACATTCAAACATACAAACATGGCTCAGTGCTAAATACAACCCTGCAAGCATGGGAAATTGGTAGAGTCCCAGCTGTCAAAGCATTGTTGGAGTTGCACGACAGATGGGGTTCTACCTTTAGTCCAACCTTGCAATTGGGGGTCCCAATAAAATTCATTCTACTTTAGTACCGCCACTGCGTTGGGATGGATGCCGTGATTGCATACCAGGGAGTGAGGGGCGAGAGCGGCAGGGCACAGGGGGCCCAAGCAAACACTTGCCCAGGGTCCATTCGTTATTAAAGACGGCCCTGTATCTACACTGCCTCCCTTGGTAAACTTATCAGCTCCTTTGGCTTCCAATATCATTTATATGCAGATGACACACAAATCTACCTGTCCTCTCCTGATCTCTCTCTCTGCCCATCTTGACTCGTGTCTCTGACTGCCTCTCTACGATTTCCAATTGGATGACTGTCCAAAACAGAACTTCTGGTCTTTCCTCCCTCAAGTGCTGCTACTCCTGTGTCTGTCTCCCTCCAAGTCAACAGTGTCACCATCTTCTACCTTGAAGGCTCGCTGCCTAAGTGTTCTCTTTGACTCCGACCTCCCCTTCACCCCTCATGTCCAATCGATCGCCAAATCCTGCCGCTTCTCAGTGGTCTTACATGTTCCCAGATTGCACTGCTGCAATCTATAATTAATACTATTTTATACCCTTGTGCAGGATTGGTCACCGTGTCTTAAAAGGCACATGCTTAAAAGGAGAACTGTCACTAAACAGGATTGTATTGTGCTTACTTATAACTATGTTCAACTAACGTGTAAGTGTGCGTTTTTGAAATATAAGCTTAAAGGGACACTATAGTCAACAGAACAACTACAGCTTAATATAGTTGTTCAAATGAGTATAGTATGTTCCTGCATGTATTTTATTGCCTAGGAACACCTATCGAGACTAGTCCAAAGGTCAGCTATTTTGACCTAAAATTTGAAATTCACTTGGAATTGTCCCAGTTAAAGTACTATATATCAGTTTTTTTTTGTAAAAGAATACTTTGCTCTCACTTCTTGTTTTTAAGATTTGAAACTGTGTACATTGAACCCTGCCTGTGTTTTTTCTTGCTTTTAATTAGGGTGGAACAACAAATTACAGCAAAAGACATGTTCCCACAAGTCACTTTCTCTGTCTCACGCATTACATTAACCCCTTAAAGGGACACTCCAGGCCAGCAGACTACTTCTGCCCATTGGAGTGGTCTGGGTGCCAACTCCCATCACCCTTAACCCTGCAAGAGTAATTAGTGCAGTACCTATAAACTGCAATAATTACTTGCTGGGTTAAGTCCTCCGCTAGTGGCTATCAGACAGCCCCTAGAGGGACTTCTGGGTTCTTAAAACACAAAAAGTGTTTTACAGTGCTACGGAATTTGTTGGTGATATATAAATAATAAAATAATAATAATAATAATAATAATAATCAATGCATGAGGACCTCTAGCGTAGCCAGAATCCCCATAGGAAAGCATTTAATAATGTTTTTCGTATTGGGAGGTTATTTACTGCAATAAAATACAGGTGTGCTTAGCGATGTCTCACAAATACAACAGTACCACCATTTATAGGTTTTAATGGGTTTTGTAAACTTACAGGGTCAAATATAGGGCTTTCCCCTTTTCAGTTTTTACACATTGAAATTTGCCAGATTGGTTATCTTGCCTTTGAGTTATCTTATCCCCATCATGGCACAGCATTTGCAAAAGTACACAATCCAGGTGTGGCGGACAACCTGGTACCCGGATTGGGCAGCTCCGCCAAACACGCTTCCTAGCTATACAAACTCAATTATCTCGGGGTACAGAAAAATACAACAATTTTACAACACCCCAAAAGTACCCCCAAAATCCATGGAAACCACTCAAGAGTCACATCCCCGGATAGCCCTGATCTTTGTGCCAATCATATCCAAAAAGCACTCAGATCGGTTTGGTGGTTTGGATTTTCCATGGAAGTAAACTTTTGACCAATCTCACACGTGGCTTCTGCCCAAAATAGTTCCATTAGAAAAGGGGTAGCGGTCGTTCATTTTCAGTCCAAAACCGAACTCACCCTCTGGCTCGTAGGTAACGATTGTTCGCCAAGTTCATTCGAAGAATCCTAACGGCGCTCTTCTGACATGTATATAAAAGAAGCAGGTGTTCATCAAAGTTCAGTGGTGTTCGCAAGTTAGAGTGCCCGATTTTAGTTCCATGCACTCGATGACCAAACACCGTTGCCTGCATTTGTGCGAACAAGATGGTCGCCAACTCAGGTCCCACGTATTCGTGCATACGAATGGCGGCCACCCACCCGAACACATAGAACGCTGAGGTGTCAGGAGAGGTCAATAGGATTTTTTTTTTCACACATGCAAAAGACACTTTCACTGATGATACACGGTGTGTTTAGTGATAAAACTGTAAATAACGGTTTTTTTTCACACTTTATTGTAGTGTTTGGGGGACTGCCTGACAACCCAGATGCAGATCAGCAGACCGCCAAACCAGTCACGTGATTGCGATGTAATCATGATCACATGGCCCGGAAGGGTTGGACTGGCTGCAGGAGGACAGTCTGCAGCTGCGGCCTCTGCCCCTGAACTGCCTGCTCTGCTGACATCATCAGAAGTGGTGGTCTGAGCCAAACACAATGCTTTCCCCATAGAATTGGCTGATACTGTCAAGGAGGCAGATCAGGGGCAGAGCCAGCACAAGTCAAATACAGTCCTCATAGAGATGCAGTGAATCAATGCATCTCTATAAGAAAGTTCAGTGTCTCCATGCAGAGGATGGAGACACTGAATGCCAGTCACACTGTGGAGCACTGCCCCAGGAAGCACATATAGTAGTCATCTGATAAGTAGCCAGTGGAGTTATTACTAAGCTTTAATGTAAACACTGCATTTTCTCTGAAAAGACAGTATTTATTGCAAAAAGTCTGAAAGGAATGATTATACTCACCAAAACAAATACAATAAGCTGTAGTTCTTCTGGTGTCCCTTTAAGCCATGGGTATCTAGGGGGTTGCTGTGTTTTATAAAGAGTTGTAGATAATATGTGTAGGTGAACTAAATAAGAAAGAAGAAAAGTTAAATAAAACAAAAGTAGATAATATCAAAATTGTTCTTCAGTGGATAATGAAAACTCCAACACCACTTCAACTTAATGAAGTGGTGTTGGTGCGCAGATACTATCCCTTTTTTTTCTCAATGTAAAACATTGCCTTTTCAGAGAACGTTTGTTGGCAAATGTCACTGTGCACATTAATTCAAAACCACGCTTCTTGTGATTATCAGCCAGCAACTAAAGGCTCTTCCTAATTAAATTGGGCAACAGTAACATCCACTGGTTGTTGGGCAAAAATAACATCTACAGGACGTACTTGGAAACCAGAGTAATTGGATTGTACAGTTCCTTGTTAAATACTTTATTACTGAATACCTTCTAAAAATTTACTTCACGTTCAGCATCACACACAGCATGATGACGTGAACGCTGTTAATGTATCTTATAAATAGGGTTAAATGTTTCCCTATTGTGACTGCAATATGTGCGCCATAGTTCTGATAACATCTCTGCAGCGCATCTGATGGGACCAGCGCATCTGATGGGACCACAGACCATCAGTATTAACCCCTTAAGGACAAATGACAGAAATAGTCCGTCATGATTCCCTTTTATTCCAGAAGTTGTGTCCTTAAGGGGTTAATATTCTCAAAATAGGTAAATTTGATGCAAAGAAGAGATTCCCCTAACACTGGATTACTGGTGAATTTAACAGATGAGGTGTTTTTTTCATTTTATTTTTATCTTAAAATGTATTATTTTTAATAAAAGCAAAAAATGAGGCTTTGACAATAATGGGTTAAAGCCCCTGCTATGTGAATACATTAACACCTGAGGCCAAACAGAAACCTTCTTGGCATGCAACCTTCTAGTATTACATACATGCACACACCTGTGTGATTGAGAGATATTTGAGTAGTTACCTCGAAAGAAAAACCCCCACAAAAGACACAATATGGCTTTTCAAAATAAACAGTCTGGGATTACACAGTTAGACGTATGTACATACATCTGCTGTATTAGTTATCTCTGAGGTTTTTTTCTCTTTTTTTGCCACTTACCTCCCCAGTGTCCCTAATTAGTAGAGACAGTCCCTAGTTTGGGCTCATATCCCTCTGTCCCTTTTTTCTATCTTAATGTTGCTCTTCTGTAGGAGTTCAGTATTGTTGGAGTGTCTGAATTTCGACCAGAGTTTCACAGCAATAATAGTCACAAAGTGTATTTAAAGTACAATAAATATGTTCAGAAATCAGTCTGTAAATATAACGCATTGTGCGTGCTGTAAATGAAAACTTACAGAGCAATGTGTAGATGAAATGAGTTGTTTGGCTAGGCAGGATCTTTGTTCGATTATGGCTTATTTCTAAAGACAACAGTCAGACCTGATTTTCAAGTTAAATTCATAAATAGCATAAAAACAAACAATTCAAGAGCAGTCCATTTCTAAGTTTGCACGAACAATTGTTTCCTCAACAGAAACACACAAAATCAAAAAGTAAATGGGAACCTAACTACGTCACACCAAAACTAGCCATGACTTTGCCAATAACCAATGCACCAAAATCTGGATTGTTTTGTTGGATTCTCGATTATGACAAGGTCACACCGAGCATTGTCACATCTTTGCAATATTGCATAACCTTAGCTGCAGCAAATCTCAAAATTTGGAGAGATGCATCGATTTAAGGGAAAAAATCTGCAGCTCTAAGACAGCCCCCTAAGAGCTGTCAGTCAGGAGGCAGCCTAAACAGTTTGTTATTTGTCCATGTTGTGAATTCACAATGCACATGCACAACTTGGATAGCGCTCCCTCCTTTCCCAGAAGAGAGAACCAAACCACGGATTGTATATGTTTGGACCTTAGTTCTGCTGATTGACTCACGTAGTCCAGTTTATTAAACTATGAACGAGGCGATGTGTAAACTGCTTGCGGCCCAGGTAGAGCAGTTCCACTCATCCTAAGTAAACTATTTATTCCATAAGCCCCAACTCGACTTGGGAAAAAAATACATGTCCTATAGAGTAGACCGAAACACATCTGAATGGAGATCTCTGCCTGATAAGGAAGTAGTCTGCTTGTAGCTGTAGGCAGACCCACCAAACTGGTTTATCTGCAGAGAACTTTAAACGTTATCTATTTTATTTTAATTTAAATATTTTTGCATTTTTAGTGTCTTATCAATAATACATTAAAATATAGGACACCATCCCCCCACACACACACTATCGTTCTTCTTTAATATCTTTTTCCATAAAATGCTATTTGGAATGTTCATGGGAAAATACGTTTGACCATAAATCAATCCTTACTGACGTAATAATGGAACTGCTGGTAAGCAGAAATACAGTAGCACTTTAGCAATTCAATCAACAAATCAGAAAGCAAACACAAAGGAGCAGGTGCAAAGAAGGGATACCCAGTCCTCATATATAATAGAAATCCCACTACAGAGTGGATGAAGTAGCATTCTTACACTGAATGTATAGAACATTTCATTCTAAATGATTGTGCTGCACACACACCTCTAACTGCTGTCAGTCTGCATCTCTCATAGTTGGTATCTTATGTATTAGAAAGTAAAAGCCCATAGCACCCAACAGTCATGGATTTGGCAGGCCAGTCTTGATTTGTAACTCCTGTACTGCCGCTCTTAGAGACACCACAGTATTTATCTTTAACGAGGGCATCATTAGACGAGCTCTCCCTTTGCGAAGCTCATGCCACAGCAATGTAATAACCAATGGTGGGAGACCTGATTTGGGAGTCATGCCAGGCTGTACCCCTCTTCTATTCAGTCGAGCCAACCGTGTCACCCTCACAGCTGGTCCCACACCATCTCCTTCATTCATATCACTATATGTTAGGATGTATGGAAGTATGTGACGTTAATGCTCAGTAATCATCTATAATTAAAGTACTAACCCACTCTTCCACCCACTTTGTTATTTTAAAAAGTTTACTTTCCTTTAAATCTTTGATAAAAATCCTTGTTATCATTACAAAGCACTGCAGAGAAACACATTATCTCATCTGGATTTTCCAAGTAGTGACACTCCTATCCAGGCTTAATACTCTACTTCTGTTTCCTAAAGATAAATGACTTCTTTTAACGTAATTTAAGAGTTTATTACACTACAATAGCAAGCTGGTCAGATGGAATCTAATGTAAATGGGATGAAGGAATTTAACTGATGGAGAGATGTGACAGATTCAGCCAGGTTAGGGGGAGACAGGATTTTATGGGAAAAGAGGACATTACACACTTACATAGATCAAAGTCAAAGTTTGTTTAAATTAAACAAAAAGAGAAACAATCAGTTGACACAGGGCAACATTTGCTCTGCAATAAAGCCAGACTTCCCAAACTGACATGACATCTAAAGACCCACCAGACAGAATAAATGGGCAGCTATTTTTACAGAGAACTTTTATACACCTCATGGTTCAAAGGCTCAGGCTTAAGAATGATTAAGACTAATTAAGAAAGATTGACTTAAAGCCTTTGCAATCCAATATTGACTACGTTGGCATATCATTTAGATATTAGCAAAGTTGTTTACTAAAGTGTTAAGTGTCGCAAATTCAAACATGAATTTCTAAAATTAAGGCCAAAATAAGTCAAATGAAAACACTGATTTAGAGGATTTTTCAAAACTTGCCAATTGTGGTCTAAAACATTGAATTCACAGTTCTGTGAATAACCCAGATTGTTTATTTAAACAACACCTGGATATATTGTATATCATCTGAAATATGCCAATAGCAGGCCTTAATGATATTGTGGTAACGACTTATGGCTTTGAGAAATGTGGTGAATTGGTAAAAAAAAATGTAAACATTTTTAAAAATAGCAAAACTGATAAAATTTTGATATATCTGAACCTAGATATTTTTGACAGTCAAAAGCCACTTTAAAAACATCAATTTATATTTAAAAAAAAAAAAGTAAAAAAAAAAGCCTGTTTTTTTTTTTTTTTTAATGAATATCTCTCACAAAAAGAAAGCAGCGCTACAAAATCCTTCGTAACGTTGATAAGGCCTAATCCAGTGTTGCATTTTTATCAAAAAATTATAGTAAAACGTAAATCCCATAGCAAAGTGAATATTTCCTGTGATTATAGCCCAACTGGGAATTTCCAAATCTTTTTGTTGTTCTAAATCTTGCAATTCAATTTTTAAAGTCAAGCTAGCAATCCTAAATTTAGTAAGCCTGATTTCAATTCATGACCATTCTTGTCGATGTATGAGCCCCATTGTGTGCACTGACTCACAAGTGGAAATACTAAAGTCCTTTTACTTTACGAATTATACATTTTTTTTCAGTAGTATAATTAACGGTTTATTAACACACCAATTAAAGTACCAAAAATACAAAATTAGCATCGACATTTTTGCTATTTATTAACCAATGCTGTCCCTAACAGTATCCATCCCAGTCTTCATATGAAATAGGTGATTATATGTAATACATAGTACGGGGCCATAGGAACACTATGAAAGCGAAGGCACTGATGCATGTGTCTATTCTGCATTAATTTAAGCTAAAAAGTTAGTGTAGTCCCCTACATGTACTCATTTACAATTAGATAAATCAAGATGAAAAGTATCAAGTGATAAAATCAAAATAAATAAAAACACCAGCATTTAATAAACAATTTTACTTCGGTGTTATGTGTTTTTGTAAGGTGTTTAAATACAATTAAACAGAGCAGCAGACTTGCAATTTGTTGTAAATATTGGAGTAAAGGGGAGGAAAGCTAAAAATAAATGGGGGAGACTATTTCATTTGCAGATTTTATTACTAGAACAGAACTTAGTAGTGGCTTGGCCTTTGGGATTGAGATTTCCTAAAATACATTGCCACTTGTAAACTTAGTATACATTACACCTGGGAGAGGGCAAACTGCAAACCACTTACCTCTCCAAGAACTACAACTCCCATGATGCCTTGACAGCTTTGAAATAGACTGTCAGTGACTTCTTCTACATTACACCCCTTGCATCACACTGTATTTTCTATCTAATGCATGTCAAATATCAATACATTGCAATTGTACAGCATTTTTTTTTTCTTAACAATCTCATAAAGGTTTAGCAATAAAAAAATCTATTTTCTGCAACAGCAAATTACTTTCAGCTGTTTGGAAAGCTGGAAGGAAAACTTGAAACATGCAGATTTCTCTAAAAGTCTAGGGGGAAACAATGTGCATTTTCTTTTTTAAAAAGTTGTAGAAATTAGTCTTCTTTACAGAACTTTTTATTTTCTAATAAAAACTCTTTTGTAAGAGTCCCCCCCCTCAAATGCCAGACAGTATACAATGCCCTTACACTATATTTAAAGATTACAGGACTTACTGCAGCCCTGAAGATCACACTCACTCCTTCCCTGCAGCATGAGACTGAGTCTGTCCTCTGCTGAGACAAGGGAGAGGGCTCACACTGACGTCAGCATGGCTTGAAGCCCAGGGATACTTAGTGGGCGTGGTCTAAGAAATAATATGGAGGAAGGGAGGGGAGGGAGGAATATAAAACTCATTTTATGTCAATACTAAAAGCAAGAGTTTCCAAAACATTGATTTATTCTCAGGCATGTGAGAAAATATCCATTTCATGTTGATGCAAATCTCAAGGCATAACATCCCTTTAATAATTTATATTCATAGAATATTCTCCATATCTATTGTCATAGAATATTCTCCATAGTCATAGAATATTCTCCATATCTATTGTCATAGAATATTCTCCATATATATAGTAACAGAATATTCTCCATATCTATTATCATAGAATATTCTCCATATCTATTGTCATAGAATATTCTCTATATCTATAGTCATAGAATATTCTCCATATCTATAGTCATAGAATATTCTCCATATCTATTATCATAGAATATTCTCCATATCTATTGTCATAGAATATTCTCTATATCTATTATCATAGAATTTTCTCCATAGCTATAGTCATAGAATATTCTCCATATCTATTATCATAGAATATTCTCCATATCTATTGTCATAGAATATTCTCTATATCTATAGTCATAGAATATTCTCCATATCTATTATCATAGAATATTCTCCATATCTATAGTCATAGAATATTCTCCATATCTATTATCATAGAATATTCTCCATATCTATTATCATAGAATATTCTCCATATCTATAGTCATAGAATATTCTCCATATCTATTATCATAGAATATTCTCCATATCTATAGTCATAGAATGTTCTCCATATCTATAGTCATAGAATATTCTCCATATCTATTATCATAGAATATTCTCTATATCTATTGTCATAAAATATTCTCTATATCTATAGTCATAGAATATTCTCAATATCTATTATCATAGAATTTTCTCCATAGCTATAGTCAGAATATTCTCCATATCGATCATCATAGAATATTCTCCATATCTATAGTCATAGAATATTCGCTATATCTATAGTCATAGAATATTCTCCATATCTATTATCATAGAATATTCACTATATCTATAGTCATAGAATTTTCTCTATATCTGTGGGGTATATTCACTAAGCTGGGATTTGAGGAAATTTGATGAGAAAGTCAAAGAGAGCCCTGCCTATGGGTGTCATCTTGGCATCTTTAATTAATTTTTTTTCTGGGTGAAATTTTATAATTTATAATAAACTATGTAGATCTATATATTATATATATTATATATATATATATATATATATATATATATGTGTGTGTGTGTGTGTTTATGCACTAATTAACACTATATATGCACTAATTGTAGATGATAATAGATAGATAGATAGATAGATCTATATTTACATACACTATATATATTAGAAAAAGTACAATGTCACTATGGGATTTATTCACTAAAAGTATCCGATTTTTATCTTTTTCTTTTTTGTTATACAAAAAAAATTTGTGCTATGATACATTTGCAAAAAATCAACAACGTTGCAGAAGAATTATCCAAAATGAATATACAAGTAAATAATATTCCCAATATCTCAGAACAAGTAGCTCTCAGACCATCACATTAGGAGAATTAGTATTTTAAACAATTGTATATAGAGAGTACAAATACTTTGTAATAGCTAGAGCAGGCGTAATTAATAGCTAAATGAACTACACTATATGTTATAACTGAGTCAAACGAGTTGAAATCACCGTAGCAGGCCGTCAGGTCATTAATGTGGGAATGTTCCAAAAATAACTAAAATGCAATATATGATTGTTTAAAAGATCTGAAAAAAACAGAATAAGACATAAAAAGGACCCCCCCAACCCGCATTAGCTCTCCTTGTAAACCAGTAAGATCCCCTTGCTGGTAGAACGCAGTGCCTCAACCCTGGGTCTTCAATCAATTCCCCAAACATAGGGTCAAGCATATATCCGGCCCCTGAACTACTGGGAGCCAGTCGAGTAGCCATTAGTTGCTAGAAATCGCACTTTGCAGGTATGAAAATCCTTTGCTTCAGAGAGGGCAGCCACATCCAGGCCAATAGTGGCTTGCACCCCACCCCTCCCGGCCCAGACTGTGTATTTATGTATATTGTTGGTAAGTGCTAATGTTGGGGTGTAAATGAAAAAGTACGTCTGTATAAAGTGGTATTTTTGTGAGTGTCAAGTGTGTAATTGTGAGGTGCCTTTATGTACGAATGTGACAGTGTGTGTGATTGCAGTGGTGTATTTGTGTGTAATACAGTTTTTGTATACTATGTGAAAGCAGGGTTGTATCATATTAAGTGTGTGTGTGAGATTATGATTTATTTTTATTTTTTTGCCCCCTACCATGATTATTGTTTCTTTTTTCTGTTTCTACCATGGTTTTGTGAATCTCTACATCCCATTTAAATTAAATTTTTTGTATCTTCTCTCTCTCGTTCTAACCCGCCTCCAGCTTTGTGTTGTTCTGTCTGACCTCCTATTTTAATATCTCCCAGTTTTGCAAGTCTAGATTTATGTAATATTCTGTGTCCCCAAGCACTCTGTGTGCTCTAGCGTTCTGTTCTGTTACCAGTTTTTTGTCCCCCTGCTTTACATATCCTCAAACTCTGAGTTGCTCAGTTTTATATTCGTCACCAGCTTTCTTTGTCTGTGTGCGCCCCTTTTCTGTGTCCCCTACTTTTTGTGTCCACCAATTTTGTGTCTCTAGATCTCCCAGCTTTCTGTGTGTAGCCCATTGAGCAGCACAGCTTTGTGGAATAGGGCCTTGACAGAGCTAGGAGGCGGGCATTCAGAGTTAGTGTGTTTGGATTGGCTAGCTATCTGGGATGGGCTGTGACAGAGCTAGGAGGCGGGCATTCAGAGTTAGTGTGTTTGGATTGGCTAGTTATCTGGGATGGGCTGTGACAGAGCTAGGAGGCGGGCATTCAGAGTTAGTGTGTTTGGATTGGCTAGCTATCTGGGATGGGCCGTGACAGAGCTAGGAGGCGGGCATTCAGAGTTAGTGTGTTTGGATTGGCTAGTTATCTGGGATGGGCTGTGACAGAGCTAGGAGGCGGGCATTCAGAGTTAGTGTGTTTGGATTGGCTAGTTATCTGGGATGGGCTGTGACAGAGCTAGGAGGCGGGCATTCAGAGTTAGTGTGTTTGGATTGGCTAGTTGTCTGGGATCGGCTGTTAGAGAGCTAGGAGGCGGGCATTCAGAGTTAGTGTGTTTGGATTGGCTAGTTATCTGGGATGGGCTGTTTGAGAGCTAGGAGGCGGGCATGCAGAGTTAGTGTGTTTGGATTGGCTAGTTATCTGGGATGGATCGTGACAGAGATAGGAGGCGGGCATTCAGAGTTAGTGTGTTTAGATTGACTAACTATCTGTTAGATATAGGGCAGCCATCTTAACATGTTCGCATTCTAATGCTTTCTCACAGATTGTGTTGTTGTTGCCAGCACTGCTGGGTGGCTTCAGGCCTGGGAGAATTATTTTTCCCTTGCAGGTTCATCAACGGGTCTGTGTTTACAGCCACACTGGAGGGAATTAAGTGAGCAGTCCAGGGAAAGAAACTTAACTGGGTTCAGGAGCAGTTTAAATCACTGATGACAGCAGAATGGAGAGGCTTTGTTGCAGACAGGAGGTGCTGTTCAGGACCACAGGAGGCTTTAGATTGACAGGAGGCTTTAGACCAAGCATGCCAAACTCAAAGTCTGGCATGGGCCACATAAACAAGCTTTAAGTTTATGTGGGCCGCAAAAAAAAAAAAACCCTTACATTTTCATAGAAACATAGGTTTATTTTAAAAAGTACATAAAAAGTAAAGTAAAAAGTATATAAAAAAAAACAGCATCCCCCTCTACTAAATCCCAGTCCCCCTCTACTAAACCACAGCACCCCCCTCTACCACCCTGTGCCAAATCTGATCTGACACAGACACACACACACACACACACTCACTGACAGACAGACACACACACATACTCACTGACAGATACTCACTGACTCACTGACAGACACACTGACACACACACACTCACTGACAGACACACACACACACAGATACACACATACTCACTGACAGACAGACATGCACACACATACACACACAGATACTCACTGACAGACACAAACACACATACTCACTGACAGACAGACAGACATACCCATTGACACAGACACACAGACACTCACTGACAGACACAGACAGACACACACACATACTCACTGACAGACACGCACACACATACATAGACACACACATATTCACTGACAGACAGACACACACATACTCACTGGCACAGACAGACACAGACACACACACATCCTCACTGACAGACACACACATACAGACAGACACACACACATACTCACTGACAGACACACACAGACACACTGACATACTCACTGACACAGACACACACACATACTCACTGATACAGACACACACACACACACATACTCACTGACAGACACACACACACACACACACACACACATTAACACATTCTTGCACACATACCATTTAATTTATTGCTCCCTAACTTTGGGAGCTGGTGTGGGGATCTTCTATTTGGAGATCTCCTTCCTGCTCCTCACTGCTCCCTCGCGCGGTTTAGTGATGCCGGGTGCCGGAATATGACGTCATATTCCGGCGCACGGCTTCACTACAGACGGCGCGCACGTGGGGCAGTGAGGAGCAGGAACACTGAGCTCCCTCACTGCATCCACCGTCCCTTCCTCCCCGGCCGGGTAAGTGTTAGCAGAGTAAGCACCTGCAATGTGAGGAAAGCAGGTGCCTACTCTGCTATAACACCAGCATGTACTCGCGGCTCGCCGTACTGCAAAGATGGTCCTTGTGGGCCGTGAGTTTGACATGCTTGCTTTAGACTGACAGATCAGAACATAGCAGATCCAGTGATCATCATGGCAAGGAACTGGAACAGGAATCCTTTTGCAGCAGGAGTGACAGGCAAGTACCAGAAGCCTGTGAG